TTTAATGCTTCTATGTGAAAAATAAAACGAGGACAAGGAAGACTGGTAACGATTCGACATAATTATTACGTACACACCATTGTAATGGGCCGGGAAAATACTTGGTATTTTCGGTCTAAGTCTTGGTCGGAAAAAACTTGAAAGGCTTTATTTCTTACTAGCTTTCCGCCCGCGGCTTCCCCCGCGTGGAATTTTGTCTGTCACAGAAAAACTTTATCGCGCACGTCTCTGTTTCAAAAACCGGGATAAAACTATCCTATGTCCTTTCCCGGGACTCGAACTATCTCTATGCCAAATTTCATCAAAATCGGTTCAGTGGTTTAGGCGTGAAAGCGAGACAGACAGACAGAGAGAGTTACTTTCGCATTTATAATATTAGTATAGATTTTATGTTCCAATGAAGTTTGCCGATGAAGTTTATTTAGCAGAAATTAAAACGAAATCGACTGGTTTTATTTATTATGATAACAAATAATTAAAAATAATTAACTTATAAATAACGTTCAAACCCTTCCAGAAATAACCTATATTTTTAAATATTAATTCCAGTTACAATTTTCTTTAAAATTTGTAACGGAACAACAAGTGAATAAAGTTTCGCAATGCGTTCACAATCTGCGTACCCATTCTAACGAATTTCATTTAAAAAAAGTCGTGGCCATGAGAAAATTTGCCTGTTGCATTGCAAGACGTTTCACTCAAGTCGCTGCTTTTTGTGAGATTTCATACCATGAACAAAATGAACGCTGACAGCCATTCAACATAGAGGAAATGAAAGCGCGAGAGTTCATGTGTTCACACGTTTATACATATTATTACATTTATATCATAAGTATTTGCTTAATTAGGCATTACGCACACTTTATTTGTCTATTATTTATTTAAAATGGCATACACAACAAGGGAAAATCGAAAAAAAAATGTAAAGAACTTTATTATTAACTACTGCATTAACTGGATTTGTACAGACGTATTTCGCTACCTATAATATCGCTAAATGTCCATTTAGTTCATGTTTATCAGACTTAAAAAGTTTGATGTAATATCGCACCTATTAGAAGTAACATAAGAACGTATTTTTTTCGAGGATATTACTAAAATGCAGTTATCAACTATTGATAACTGGTTTAGAGATGAGGTAACTGAGATGACATTTATCAAAAATAATGATGACGTTTTGCATTGGGAGGAGAAAGGACATTAATATTAATCATTGAGGATATTATTATAAATAAGATGATGATTGTGTTTGTATTTTTCAAGAGAAAAATCGATATCGTTAACAGATGACAGAGGCAACTTCTACATTGTGTCAAAATTCGTTTGCTGTTAGAGCCTTGAACTTATTGACCTTAGGTTTCAAAGTAAGCAGCGACGCGACAACTAGTTACGTCCACTAAACCATGAAAAACAAAACAATACTAAGAAAAAAGTGTCATTAGCTCCTGGACTATTTCGTTGAAAATTTTGAGTTACGGAACTCTAATAAAATGGTGTTTTGCAACTAGGTCAGTGCAATAGACGCCCATGGATACAAGTTTACGTGAAATTAGTAGGTGTATCCTAATGGTCAACGTGAGAGCGGAGTCGGCAGTGCGCCCGCGCCGCACTGCTAGGGCTGCGACTTGAAAAACCATTTAATTTAATATACTAAATAAATAAATTTGTATTTTTAAATAAAAACAAATCGTGTTATGTGTAAATAGTGCAATACTAAGTGAGCTGGACTAAATAGGCTATCGAGAAGAAAATAAGAAGCGGTTTATGAAGAGAAAATTGGGAAAAACTACTCGAAGAAACCTAATTAGAAAACTACGTAAGAAAAGCCGTGGGTAGAAACGTTATGTATAAATAAATATAGTACGTTAGTAAATTACACAATGTTATGTAAAATGATTTAAAGTAAGTATTATTTTAGGAAGTCCTTTGCAATTCTCTTCATAATATTTTAAGTAAAATACAGGAAAGTATGCAAAGAAAAGTCCACTGGTAGGTAAATGCTCAGATATTAATAAAAAAAAAGTGTTAGGATACGAAAAGTGCAATTATTCTAGAACTTCGTTGAGTTTAAACTCACAGCCCTTAAGGAAACGGCCGAGTGTTATGCAAGCCTTAGCTGGTAGTCTAGTAACTTGCTCTACATTCGCCTTTGTCTCAACGAGCTGCCAGTTCAATTCTGAGCGCAGTATTCCTTACCTATTTATTTTAACTAGCTGGCCTCTAACTTCGTACGCGTTGAAATAGTTTCCTAGTCTATCAAGTCAAGACCTTTAATTCATATGTTAATGTTTCTAGTAGATAGGTAGGGTTAGGCTACAGCACACGATCGATATTATAAAGCTGAAATAAAATAAGAAAAAGTCTTTAAGTTTGGTTAGATTAACAAACAATGGAAATGATAGCTGGACGTTAATTGATTTTTAAACGGATATAAAGCAATGACTGGTAATTATTTCTTAATGTTAAATTAAGATCTAGGTGAGTTTTGTTACTATAACATCAAGTTAATTAGGGTGAAAGCTTTTTATTCTAATTAATTCTTTCATTGCATCAATAATGAGATTTTACGTTTACGCTACCTCTACATGTGTGTATGTCTACATGTGTGTATGTCTACTATGTTATAATTTATCGATTTGAGTGTATTATTTTATTTCTACGTTAGTTAGATGTTAGAGTTGTACCTATTCGAAACGAAAAGTAATAGCATCGCTTGTCCTTAGTAATCGATAGCCATGTCGAATGTGATTAGGAGACAGTCCTACGGGTTACCTAATAGGTATTTGTCGCAATCGTGTAATCTTGCGGATATAGGCACAAGTGAAATCGATTAAACCTGACTCGATCGTTTGGGCTCGTGATTGTGTCACGTAACAACGTGTACATCGAACTTTACTGTGCTTTTGACAGGTTTTCAGCTGAGCTTTAAAAATGTAGAGAGTAAGTACCTGTTGTGACAAAGTGATACAAATAGTAGGTACATAGTAAGTAATGTTGCATCAATGAAACATAATGTTATTAGTATGCTACTGAAGAAGTCACTTTCCCTTATCAAAATGATAAGCTACTATCTACATTAATTTGCTACATAACATTATGAAATATAGGTACAAAACAATTTTAGTAACAGGTTACGAAATATGGTACAAAATGATTTTTGGACTTTTATAAGAGGTTTTTAACAGTTTTTAATCTTGTTACAAGCATACGTTTTACCTATATTGTCAATTTAACTTTAAATTGCATGTCTTTAATATATGGATTAGCAAGCTCGCCCACCTTTTTTCCTTGGTCATCATGTATTTTTTTTAACCATCATAAAACAGTTACGCAATTAATGGCCAAATAAATGAGAAATACGACACACGCACATAATATTGAAAGTAGAATCTCTTGACAAGTTTTCTTATTACCTAATAAGCTCCTTTTAAAGGATATTGGGTAAATGGCTCAATGCTAGATTTAATGGACAGTTTAAGGTAGTCATTAATTAGTATTTGTTTCGAAATACACATGAAATGAACAGGAAGAGAGTAGAGACCTTATACTAAGTAGTGCAGGGCTAAGTTGTCTTTCAGTATTTTGTCGATGATTTCGAGTGTCATCTACGGCGAGGGAAAAATAAATGTCGTATATATCCAACCTTTAACAAATCACAATTTATTCTTGAAATTAACGGATTTCCATGGGTATTAACCCATGCCATGGTGGAAAGGCTATAAAGGAAATCCTCGTGTGTGGAACGACAGAGGCACTCTACACAGAAAGCAACTCGCTCCCATTGTTAACAATTTGTACAAGAATGCGCATTGTTTTTGCAAGGTGTTAGGCCTTTCGGACTTCCAACACTATTAAGACATATTCTTGACTTACGCGACAATAGTGACGTCAAGGAGTGCATAAAAGTGTAGCACTTAGTGACGTCACGCGGAACTTCCACATATCATTCTCCATAATCTTACTTGTTTGATTGACAAAATACGTCTCCAATATTTTTTGATAATATAATTGACGGACTAAAAGTTTTTTTTAGGAAACTAGACTATTGCAGCTCTTTTGGCTTCCATGTTTTTATAAAGGGTTGTTTTGCTTTCAAATGTAGGTATGCACTGTTTTCCTATGATTTTTCAAATTACATGATAAGTAGGGTTGATAAACTTCAATTAAACTGATCTTATTTGGTAGGAAGTTGGACAACAATGCATTAAAGCGATTCAAGAATGTGTACAGTGAACAGCACACCAGACTATACATTTTATTGAAAAATAATACCTATTACAACTACATAGGATGCACAGTGTCTAGCTTGATGTGTCGTCGTACACCATGTGATCGAGGTTTTTAACCGTCTATTGTTTGGTAAAGCTGCAAAACAAGTGCGATTAATTGGATCCAATTACAGCAAATATTTACGATTGTTCGAATAAATCCAAGATTAATTGAGGTTGGAGGCCGAGGCCGTAATGAATCTAAATTCAATTTGCCGATTTATTCTTAATGATTCGGAAGGTTGTTTAGTTTTCACTACGCGTCATTAATTTTAAATTATGTCATGGGTAATTTGATTTGACATAATTCCCTTGTTTGACTTTATTTTGTGTCACGACAGATTAATTAAATGATTCTTTAGTGAAACTTTTTATTATAAATAATCTTTCTTTCGTTACGTATAAAGTGTCTAATGTTACATTATTTATTGAACTGATCAAGTAACTAACTGCACCTAATTTGAAGAGAACAGATCTAATTTCGAGATTAGGTACCTACCTACGCTTAGTACATGGTTTATCTTAAATACATCTGACGGAGTGTTATGTAACATTCCGAGTATTGCATAGCTTGTTCTGACGTTGATGCGTATTGATGTAGTACCTATGTTTGTACATCGAGTGCGTTTCTGTAATGACAGTTCAACTCACTAAGGGGCAAGTTGAACTAGACTATATTTTTGAATAAAACAGTGAAATTACACAGATAAAACACAAGATAGAGTTCGTTAAGCATTTTTTATTTAATCAACTAATTGGAGTCATAAAAATGTATTTACAATTAAATGTTTACGGTTAAATTAAAACTGTGAAGTTTTTGTGATACATATTATGAAATTAGTTCGTTAACTATACATGTTGCGGGTAGTCAGTGAATTACGTAAAATCGATATAACGATGACAAAATAAACATTGTAACATAAAAATCAGGTCCTGTACGTAATTGCAAGTATTGTAGCCATTGGAACACTGCCCACTTTCACTCTCAGGGTGCTGTCACGAAAGTAAAGCTAACTGGATGTGTCGCAGTTATTTCTTCTACGTGGTTTTATTAAGTGGGTTAAACACATCGTTTTGCAGCCCATTTGATGTATCACGAACTATACAAGTTCGCGTCACGTGCTTTTAGCCTTTCCATTGTACTATGTAGTTCTGTGTTCGATCTTACCGTGTCATCGCATCTAAACCAGCTCCGTGCGCTTTTTATTGTTGCGTCTTACGACACGCACGTGTATTACTTTTTATTGACCGAAACAAGCCAATTGTAAGCTTATTGATTCCTTATTAAATGAGCAATAACCGATTTCACATAATTAATATTATACTAAATTATTGACATCCTCGTTAAATGTTATCGGTAATGATATGCGAAAATAATATTAAACTAATTACGTACTAAGCCAATCTCGTTCGTTATAAACTGGCCTACTACTGGCATATAATTCCTTACAAATCTGTTGCTTTTTGGCGTAATAACACCGAAAGACTTTTCCACCTGGTGGCTCATATCTCTGACGACGCGTATTCTTTTTTATGAATCCGCTATAGCCACACCATAAACCGATGCAGCCTTTACCCAAAGTTACGACATAATCGCCAGTCTTAAGTAGGATATCGTCTTTGTATTCAATAGCGGTTTTTAATTTTAGTCCATCATTGTATGGTATGAAAGAGTTGAGATCGCAAATCACTTCGCCGTCTTGGCCCTGCTCGCACAAGAATTCGTCTTGTGACAGAACGTTGGGCTCGTTCGGCCTTACTATGGTTCCAGTGTCGACCAATTTGGCGTGTGAATCAACGTCGTCCTTCTTATGACACACTCGCCCACGGTCTGAATATACTAAACAATCCACCAAATAAAACGTCTTGTTTCTTACATTGTTACTTAAAAACAATAACTTGTCAATGTTTTTGAAATAGTTGTACCTTATTGTCTCGCATTGATATGCTTCTGACTGTGAGTAGCATGACTTGAGTTGGAGTTCGGGGGGAGTTACTTGCGTAATGGAGTATAGTTTCAGAGGTACGCACTCCGTTGACGAGCAATTGTATAGAATTGAGCTCGCCCTAGGTATGTACGGGTCGTAGTGTGGAACCTTATCGTCTAAATTACTACTTCGACGTGTTTTCGGAACTGTATCGCATACTGGAGCCTTGCCCTGAAATATTTTTTATCATTATTAAAGGCTTGGAATTGACAGCTTGGTGTCGAGTAGGTTTAATTTGGCAGTCACGTTCGGATTTAATGAGTTCTTTGGTTTGTAGAGCTGTCGTTCAAATCCAAATATGGGGTTTTTATCACATCTAGGAACCAAAAGGTTTTTGCACGGACCTTAATGCGAATCGTGATTAGCCGTGACGTAATGTTGTATTAATTTGGACGTCTTGACGATGATTTTCCAGGGTCGTAATGATCCATGGTAAATAAGTGAAGACATTATGAGTTTAATCACATCTGCAGTACCTAAGCCTAACACGCACAAGTACATTTCCGCGCTGTTAATGTACGTACAGATAATGATACATCCAGTTAAACAATTCAGTTGTGATAACCCTGATGAAAATGTTATAATATAAATAATTTAATAATTACCTGGTCCTTTACACATACAACGTCTTTGTTGAATTGCTGAAAATGTTAGGTATTTAATAATGACTTTATCTAACTTTTTGGCATCATAACAATAGGCATTTCGCTTGAGTACTTTCAAAGGTGCAAATTGCGTTGAATAACGTTTCATTTAACAAAGTAAGTATAACTCACTTACCGCATGTATTTCTAATAAAAGGTATAGAGTGATGACTAAACATAAAAAAGTGAAATTCATGACTACGAAATTACATCACTGGACGTGTTGAAAATGCTAAAAAGAAAAAGGAAGTGCTTGAATGCAATAAAATGTAAATTTCATGTGATCGCTTCATTGAAAGTTAATGGAGAATTTGATTGAAAATTCTGAAAGTCTGCACAGAAATATTGTGGAGTCTACATTATTCTTGATATTAAGAGGTCAGACTATTATGGCCTACAACTATTCTCATTTTTGTCTGATAATATTTACCTACTTCTGAATATGTACCTATAATTTGTTTAGAAGTAGGTAGATGATATTTGTGGTGTGACCCTGTCAAATATAATCGACTTTGGAAAAATTATCGGTTTTCCCACGTTTTAAAATGTCAAATGTATGGTAATCTCAAAATAAATTTAATTTAAGTAATAGTATTCTACCTTATTACCCAGTAGCATTTTATATAAAGGTACAGTTTAAATATTATAATGTTTGTTCATTTATCAATTAATCATACATACCTGCCTTGATCTTAAACTTGACTAATATTATGACCACTAGATTATTTTGATCTACCTTAACTTTTGCCTTGATCTGTCAAAGATTTCAGCGTATGACTATGAAACATGACTATAGTATGACATTGGGGGATAAGGTCAATTTGTCTCCATAAAATAGGCTGTGGATATACATAATGGATTATCCTTAGAGATAATAAAGTCAAGAGTACTTACCAACAATAGTAACTTCTGTTTATACATTTTTCATCACAGTTGAAGTGTCACTGAAAAAAAAAGAAAAATATTTTCAGTAACAAGTAAAATGAGACAACAAAACACTGAATTATAGGCATAAACGCAAGTCTAAAGTAAAATAAATATAAACGTATTTTTTATTTCTATTTTCTTTCATTCTCCTATTCATTAATATTCTAGACTATAATATTATTCCATGTTTAAAAACCCATGGTATCTCGATACACCACCATTCCCAAGCTGAAAGTTGACTGTGTTCCGATGTAGATTATAATCTAAGGTTCCGTATAGAAGAGCTCGGCTGGTAGCGCATTCCAGTGCAGCGATTAAGTATGTAACAGTATAGTATATGCTGCACTCAAGGTTTGTATATTTAATTGTACCAGTTAGTCACCAAGTATTTATAGTAGTTTAAATTTGAAAGAAGTTGAAAATCATGTCAAAACCCTGTTAATTAATTAACTCTACATTTCAATTCCCTGAAATATTTAGTCCGGAAGCATATCAACAAATTTACTTGGGATTTCTTTAAAGATAATTTTCGACTGGGTAAATAATCGACTAATAAGGTCTTTTTTATCCAAAACACAAGTGCATTATCTTGACTTAAAATTGCAAAAGTTAACTGTCGTACGTACTTCGAAGTGGTAGCGAAGATTTCATGCTCTAGTTTTGACAAGGTTGCGGGTGGGCGTCAAAAGTGCTGCCACAGGCGCAAACCCATGCGCTCAACACTGACATTGAAACGCAGGTACACATTGAATCGCAGGTACACATTGAAACGCAGGTACCTTCGAATGCGGTCTATGGCTTGTGCAAAATAATTAATTACCTGCTCGTGACGTAGGCGTCCCATATGTTTTACGAAACTTGTTTATCGAAAACAAATGAGCAATCAGTCTCTTTGTTAGTTATGATTTTTGTTTTGTGAATATAGAGTGGGCGATCACATCTGTTTTTAAATGCATGCGTAAACATGTATACTGTTGACATTGAAAAGTTTTGCACCACACTATTTTTATCTTATTATTATTACTAATGTACCTATGTTTTACCCACATTGTTATCTTTTAAAATTTTAAGGCATAGTTGCAGTTGCACCGTCTTACTTTTTTTTTAATACATGACCGGCGTTATTTTTATGAGTTTGATAGACTTCTGACGTTTGTTATAGTTAAAGCACGTTAAAGTAAGAGGGATTAACCCAGCCTAAGCGTAGTGTCTCTATATTTGTGAAAACTGTAAATGGTTTCATAATGTTATATGTAACCTTTGAAATCTACCCACCCTGCTCTCGTGGGCAGTTAAGTGAAAATTACACTCAATATGGCCTTAACTATGGACATTATACAAAGGTCAGTGTCCGTTGCTGCGACTAAGAAAAAAATACGTATGTCTAATATTGTGGCTAAGATAGAGTTTTTGCTATTTCAAATCAATTTATTGGCAACTATTCATCTCGTTGATGTCAGAACCTCTTAAGGTACTAATGGTTGTCAAATAGCATAGAACGGTTCCTCAAAACAAATGACATCTACGAAATCGGAAAATTTTGGATGTAAACCATAAATGAAATTATTTATAATATTATGAAATATCAAATCGTGCTATGTTTTGTATATTATGCTACAACACTATGTTTTGGAGCAAAATATACACAAGTAGGTATAGCATTAAAAACATCGTCAAACGTCCTTCCCAAACAACGTTTATGTCGTCACTTATGAATTCAGCAAATTAAGCGATGGCTTCTTATAGAAAGTGTGGATACAATGGGACATTGAACGATAGTGAAAATGCGGCTGCCCCTTGCATATCAATCGATCCTTGTTGACGTGCATACAAGTATGACAAACTGACATCATGACAGCTTAAAAATTCAAGCAGCCAATTCGGAACTATAAACGTATTGTCGGCTGTCGTAATTCATAATCCTTATCGGAACAATGTAATATTATTCATATTATACAATATAGTTTATGGGTAGATTATGTTATGGCGTGGAGACATCATTTACATGGGTATTATAATCCAATTTTCAAGTATTTATAATTTATATCATCGAGGGGATCCATCCCCTCGATGATATAAATTATAACAAATTATAACAAAATACAGCTTCTATGAGTACCTATAATAGTGAAATGTAAAATAGAAAAAAGAACGAAGAAAGATAACTTAAAAAATAATGGCATAGTCACATTTGAAACCAAATATTTCCAGGTAGGTAATACTCGTATGTCTTAGAATTCAATAAATATATCAACAAAGATCTTAACTTTTAGAATAGTTATTTGCCAAATAGAGTGAAAATGAAAAATAAAACGAAATGACCAAGGACACACTACCCTTGAGAGGTCTCCTCTGTTTTGTAGACAATACGTGTAGGCAGGTGAACATCGATGACTCGAATTAGCAAGGTTGTACTTACCAATTTTGTGAATTGTTTTTGAAATAAATTGTTATGAAATCGGCGCCTTAATTGGCGCATGCTACACTGTTTTGAAAACTATTTTCACGCGGACGAAGTTGCAGGCAAAAATTACACCTTGCTCAAAAAAGGATAAAAATCCAGACAGACTGATTATTCAAAATCGTGATAGTGAATTAATTTTATTGCAAACAAAGTTATTAACAATTGTCGGGATGTCAATCGTTTGCTTGCAAATTGCGGATTTCCTCATAGCTAAACCTGCTCTGATTGTGTTTTCTCAATAGATTACAATTTATTGGTTCAAAAAATGGGCCATAAATTTTAAAAGATAAAAAAGTTATTTTTTACTGTCCGAAAATGGTCCCGACTAACGAACTCATTCGGAGTTCTTGTTAATCATAATGATTCTTGGATCCTGTTTGGTTTTAATTGGTCAGTTTGGTTGTACTCGTAGTTAACTATTAATTGGTGATGAAGTAGACCTACCTTGGTGACTTGCTAAAAAAGAGTTTCCAAAATTCTCTACTTACAAAGAATTCGAAGTTTGACGTGAGTGAAGTTATTATGGACATTTCTTAGTTTGTTGTCACGAGAAGAACCTTAGGCTGAGTTGCACCACCTAACTTTGACCGTAACTATGACGATAACCGGTGTCTTTTGTATGGAGTTTGACAGATTTTTGACGTTTGTCAAAGTTAAAGTAAGATAGTGCACCGTGCAACCCAGCCTAGTTAATTTCTAAACTTATGTATACGAAATAGGACTACCTACGAAATACACTTCATTAAATTGAATTTTAGATTCAGTGGAATTTCTTCAACTTTAATGCATGTTACGGGTTGATGACCCAGGTTATAAACATAAGTTTGAATTTGGCAATAAGTAGCTGTTAGACCGAAGCGGTTTTACCATAAACTATATTTTGATTCGATCGATGAACTCGCGACGTATGTTAATAGGCTTAATATGCAATCCTTATATGCTATAATTTAAATACTTGAAATTCAATTTCAATAAAACTTTAAAAGATCTTTTAAGTGGCTAAGTAAGTTCTTTTTCAAAGAAAGGAAGAGTGAAGCACTAATATAGAGCAAACAATAAATCTTAATCACTCACCGTGGTAATCAAGTGTTAGATAATTAACCAAGAAAAACAATACTTCCGAGGCGCGGGAGTCGAGTAACGCGGTCGCCCGTGGCTCGGATTCACTCAAGTGCAAATAACGCACATTTATTAAACACGAATATAAGTATCAATATGTACAGGATATTTGGTACAAATGTAGGAGTATTTTCACTAAACAATTTAGGGTGGATTTGACCAAACAAGAGTAAAATATTAATCTCGGAATAAATCGACAGTTATTACCAGGAGTTAAAAGTTTGGTTAAATCGGGCCTTAGGAACTGAATTTTGAAGCCAGCTAACCGCACCGACATAGAATTTCAGACTGAGTAGTCATGAATAAGTGGCCTAAACTCAGGAAAATAGGAACAGAAACTGCCTACATGTAAATGATGTCATTGGGTTGTATGGTGACAGTGTCGACAGTTGGACTGTAACTAATTTTATGTAAATAGGTAACAGTTTCAGTTAATTTGCTGACCTGTCCTATCATATGCTTCCGCTATCTTTTTATCTCTCTGTTATGTCAACAGGTTGCATTTCATAAATTGTAGAAATACTAAATACATATCACACAATAAAATTAAATGCATGTGGTCTCATAAAAGGAAACTTTTTTTTAGGTTAAACTTTACTCGTATTTAATACATAGATTTCAATTGTTTTTAGCTGATTTTGTTTCTATTCAATTTACATACGTCAGTTTAAAGAATAAAAGTGCAATCAAATGCTATCGTACATTTATCGATACGATTTTTTAAAATTAAAAAATGAATATACTCAAAATGAATTAAAAATCCAACTAAGAATATTTTAAAATTCCGCAAGAGCAATACAAAACAACAAATCCTGATACCTTCGTGTAGAAAACTTTTTTATTTATCAAATTGTTTAGAAACCCGGTCAAAATCCTAAAATAGAAGCGTTTTGTGAAACTCAACCTTATTAGCGAGTGTAAAAGTTTAGATTGTTAATCGTATAACTTGTAAACAAGATTTGAAATATATTGCAGTCTGTCATCTGATTGGCAATCATTGTTGTAATGTAGAGCTCGTGTTTCGGATTTTGGATGCATATCTGTTTGATATAGCGCGGACTGTTCCGTGATTCGCGATAGGTATTGGCAATTGAGAGAGACCTATTCTTGATAAAATGAATTAAGTCTTACTAATCTAGTCATTAATATGTTATTGTAGATCTGATTCACAGTAAGACCTAGTGTGTATTATTGTAATCATTTTCATAACATCTGATTTTGATGTTAATTGTGACAATAAATGAGGATTAGGCGTGACTTTTTTCCATTTACGATTCTGAATTTTGACATTGCCCTAGATGTTTTGTTCCCCAAGGATTATCGAAGAATGTAACATTTTGTAAGTAGCTAAGTATTCAATAGGAATAATCTGTGATTGAAAGTCAGTGTTATTAGTTATGTTAATAAAATTATTTTGTGCATCATTCTTATTTATGGGTTGACTTTTAGTTTGTTATCATCAGCATTAGTGACTTTATGCAATGTTAAAGGTTAATGTGCCATTTTCAACACCCGTTTTTTCCTTTTTTTACTGTAAACAAAACCTGTTGTTAGTCGATGGGTTATCATTAGGATCCCTTAGGTATCCTACTTACTTCGAATTCGTGTAGTTTTCAGTCCGTCATTAAATATACAGTTGCTTTTTAATTTAACATTCACAAGGGATTACGTGTAGAATTTAAGAAAGTAGAACTAACACTCGTTTTGTATAACAACAATGCATATTCACACCATGTTAGAGAGAATTGTTACAATGAGGTGTGTCCTCAATACTTCCATCTAAACAAAATGTAGAAACAAAAAAGACTAGGGGACAAAACGTCGCGTTCGCGATCGCATCGGACTGGGGATTTGAATAACGGACGCGTGTTGCGCACGCGCCGGCTCTGTTTCAACTGGTAGGGGTTTCCCGCCAGAACCACGCGGAGATAGTATCTTTGCTTCTTGCTCGCTATTCATTCATAAATGCGATTATTATGCAATTCACTTGACTGCAGACAAGTATTTCTATTATTTCGCCCGGGTCACGATAACTGCTCTTCATCACGATGGAAAGCAAAGAAGCACTTTCAGCTTTAATTGAGTCATGCTCTCGTTGATGGATGGGTATTATTATTTTTATGCAATGGAGTAAGTAAGTAAGTAATTGATTTAATACTTAAGTTTGATAAAAATAGCTCTAATAATGCTACGAAGCTATGCTATGGAGCCAATGAATTGTATTTTATCTATTTCCATCGTTAATGATTAAACGATGATCCTGAAATTCTTTTGTTGGTGGAAATTCAAAAAGACACTTAACTTTATGACTGAATTTCAGTCATAAAGTTTAGAATGAAAACTTTCAGTCACTGAAAGTTTTCATTCTAAATTCGAATGGCATATTGTCTCTCTTTAAACCAAACCTTTTTGAAACGACCTCGGTTGTAGGTGTTCAATGGCGTGACCATTTAACACAAAACCGTAATTTTGCATGGTCAGTATGGGTGTCAACTGACCATCTGTTTTGTAACAAGAACGCCTGAAAATGTAAGTTATATTGTGTTAAGTGAAAAGGCGTAAAGTTTAAATACCAATGTTACTTTCGCTGTTTTTAACTAATTTTGATTTTAACCCCCGATGCAAAAACGACGCGCTGTTATTTGTTAATTGGTGTTCTTTACTGATTCCTAGGCCTACTTGAATCAAACGCTAAGTTCGTTTGTTTCAGTCGAATGACGTTCACTGCTGGACAAAGACCTCCCCCAAAAGCTAGGTTAGACCATGATTAAACTGAAGTGACTGTGAATATTTTTTTGTGTTACTGTAGGTAATTATGATTTTTAGTTGCAAGATAAATTATCGTGTAAATAAATACAACATACCGAAGAAGAGCCATGGACTAGAGTTTTTTCCAGACACCTCAGGTTCCTTTGTTACACTGCATAATCAGATAACAAATAAAAAAATGTGGATTCCATGTTATATTTATAAAATTTATTTAACAAACAAATCCCGGACTCATTATTTATAGGGGTCACCCTACTATATGTTCGATAAACGTAGCGCCATCTACCTCCGTCAGTAAACAACATAAAAAGAAACTTGGTTGTTGATTCGTTGGTATAGATCGATCGAGACGAGATGATTCGTTATAATGCCGTAACACTATTATGTAGTTTTACTAACAAATTATAGATGTCGTTGAGGAATATTGAATAGGTATATGAATATGATGTTTATGAAAAAGTCAAATACTCGTAAGTAAAAAGTTTTTGTTAGTTCTACTACGTAGTACTTATTATTATTCTGTGGTTCTACTACCAGTACTATTTAAACAGTTTAAAGAACCAAAGTCATTTTCAGTAAAAAGGAAATCCCTGAAAAGGAGCTGAAATGCTTAGAATGTCATTTTACATTCATACGTACATCTACTCCTGGACTTTTTCTAAAAAATCTAATAGAAGTTCCATAAGTAATTGCGTTTGTTAACGTAGTAGCAACGTAGTAATTTTTTATGGGCCATGTCTTTCTATGTTTTTCGCTTTAAGCTCAACGATTGCAAAATAATTGTGTTTTTATTCTAGTGTTGTATAAAAATAACTTTTAAAAAGTAATTAAATAGTATTTCCTTTAATTCATTCATAACGAAAAGCCTCACTCTTGTCGTTTGAGCAATTTCCATTCATCCCTAGATTTTCCTAGCACCTTCATATCCCCGTAAATTACATGATGTTTGATGAAAAATTGCTATTAATTAATCTCTACCCAATTAAATACATAAGTAAGTGTAGCCTACTCCTTTAAAACCTTTATTTTCCAGGTTAAACATTCTGAACTTTATTAGTATTTGTGTCTACACGCAAATAATATCAACATTATGAAATAAAAAAATCGTTTAATTTTTCATCGTAGATAAAGTGCTTAATATAATAAATTGTATATTAAATTATTACATTAAAATACTAATATTAATTTCTACGTATTTACATTGTGCATGGCAGTAGTTAGGCAGTTTTGGGTCATCTTATGTTTATTCTAAAATTTAATACTTTTAGATTACTACGATCTACATCTTAAATCTAATGATTAGGTGAGACGGCTAAGGTTTTATACACTGGGTATGTACGAGTATATTAAAAACGTAGTTATCTTATCGTTGATTTTTCGATTCTACTGGATAGTATAGCCACTTGAATTCATAGCCTTTGAGACCATACTTTTCATCTTTTTCTGTTTCAGGCTTAGGTACGTCGTCGGACAGCAAATCAAGCACTTCTTGGGTGATTTTGGGACGGAAACCTTTTTCATCTGCCACATAGTCGACTCTAGTGCGTATTCCGTTTCTGCCTGTTACATAATAATATCCCTGTTTTGCTCCATTAGTATAACCTTCTTCAAAGTGACCATGGAAACCCACGGTATAGTTAAATGTATATAAAAGACGCAGCATATCATCTTTATTTAGTCCATCTGGCAAACCGTCCTTTTCTCCGGGGTTCTTGTGGTATATATCGGTATTTTTATCGACTATTTGCATTTGAGCTGTAATAAGAGTAGGTTTACTGGGTCTATCATTATTTTGTAGTCCATATTGATTACCACTATCTTGAGGATTATTTTGTGGGTTAAAGCTTTGTGGATAGTCGGTAAATTGTTTAGGGCTTCTATCACCTGATGTGCTGCCTAGAGGGCCTTGTAAAGTTTGCCCAGGAGATTGGATATCACCGGGGCCTTGAGGATATTGTTGGGGCCCATTGGAACCTTGTTGAGGATAGTTTTCGTTCTGTTGAGGATAATTTGCGCCTTGTTGAGGGTAATTGGCCCCTTGTGGGTTATTTGTCCCTTGTTGAGGGTAATTTGCTTCTTGTTGAGGGTAATTGGCGCCTTGTGGATTATTGAATCCTTGTTGAGGGTAGTTTGCCCCTTGTTGAGGATTATTTGATCCCCGTTGAGGGTAATTGGCCCCTTGTTGTGGGTTATTTGTCCCTTGTTGAGGATAATTTGCACCTTGCTGTGGGTAATTATTTTGGCTTGGGTAATTTTCTTGTCCGTTTGGATAGTTCTGTGAACCACCTTGAGGATATTGTGGAGCTCCATTATTTCCAAATTGATTATTTTCCCGATCTTTTGATACTACAGCGAAGTCTGTGAGTTCGGGTTTTCGGGTAGTAGTAGTTGGTATGCTACAACTAGAACAAGTCCTAGTCGGTGCTGCTTCTGATGGACCTGATACGGCTATTGGATTCTGCGGGGACGGTCCTGATACAGCTATTGGATTTTGTGGGGACGGTCCTTCGATTTTTGGTGGGTTTTGAGATGGCGGGAAAGGCAATGAATGACCTTTCTTTTCAGGAGTCGCAGTCACTGAAAATTTAAAAATAGATGTATATTAGTAGACACGCTACATTTATATGTACATTGTCAATGCAGTCAAAACAAATAGTACAATTATACTTACATGGCCTCATTCTAATATTTTTCATTGACAAAATTTTGAAATTTCCATTTTCATCTGTAGCATACACCGTAACGTGGTAGACACCATCGGCTGTGATGAAGCCGAACTCTCCCATAATAAGCCCGTTCTCGTCTGAAACACAAAATGGTGTGGTTTAAAAACCTTAGCAATTCAAATAATAAAAAAATAATGTATTCAAGTTATGTGTTTTATGAATAAATTTTATTAAGTGGGAATGAATTTGTTTGATGAAGCGAATTAAATGACAACATGGTATGACGTAACGCACTCAATGTTTGTACATTAGCTTCCTAAATCCTTCTAAAGGCCAAAATTAAATCTGCAATGCCATTATCATAAAGGTTACGAGTAGACTCTAAGAACAATATTTTCGAAGAGTTAATTTGAAACTTCGACAATAAAAGGCTGACATTTTCATCACATCTTTGCGTGTCATATTTGTTCACGTACCCATGCTATTTTTTGATTCCACGTAATTTTTACGACCTACTATCAAATTACAAATTCAATTTTTACACCATAAGATTGCTTTTTAACCAGAACTTATATCACCAATTTGGATATTGAAAGATGCTTAACTACATCTTCACATTTTCATTAAAGAATACCTGTAACCTGCTGTTCATTTTGTCAACTAGAAAATTCCCTATACACTCCAATGGTAGAACTTGTATTATGAATATAAATATTTTTATTACCCATTGCCAAAAAACTAGTTTTTATATATTTTAATAATATTTCTTGTTCTATGTTAATGCCATTTGATATGCTCATTTCACGAATTAAATTAAGCATATCCTGTCGGTTTATTGATGTACCTACCAATAAAGTATCAAATAAAACATTACTGCGATCATTAATTAGATCAATATCAGCATTTCTACTATAGAAATACATTCACTTGTGAATATATTTACTGGTAGGAGACATGTAGACGCCAAGCGATGAACGTGCCTAATGAGTTGGAACTTATTTATATTATTAATTAATTTTACTTTATTGAATACATTATATACTTAATCGTATATCGTATACTATTTTGAATTGAACATTTACGAAAGAATTAATGATGAGTCTTTACATTTGGCCGCAAAATTGATTAGTGTATTAATGCAAATATTATATTAGAATAATTTAAGTAACCTTATTACTTCCTGAATAAATAATATTATCTAGTTGTATCGCTAAAAAGTCTTTATTATTAAATCACTTAATGTTTTTTATCATTAAAATATGAAGTAATTACGTCATTCGACTCTCATGTAGAGTCAAGTACACGTTTAACATGTCACTCAACGCAAATACTCGTGCGAGTACATCGCTACTGCTATGATGGATGATGGAAGAATATTCAATTATACTACGGTGTCATCTTGGACATCCGTCCACATCCGTGTATGACAATCAAATTGTATAATAATCCGGAGTACATTATGTACAGTCGCGAAAAAATGTTTCGCGACTGATAATAATGTAATGATTTTGTTGAATGATAATGTACTCCGGATTATTATACAAAATTAAATTACAAGTTATCTATTAAAAAGCTACTAGAACCTGTACCTCTAGTACGAAAAACTTTCGAGTTCGTTTCGTTTGCGTATTCAAAGTGTCATCGAAAAATTTTCGATGACACTTTACGTATTCAAAGTGTCATCGAAAAATTTTCGATGACACTTTGAATACGCAAACGAAACGAACTCGAAAGTTTTTCGTACTAGAGGTACTGAATCTTAGAAAAATGATTGTTAATTTGATTTGGTATTGGCCTAAATAATATATATTTCTAAGTTATCTATGAGTGGTCTCAGTTGCCGGAAGAAAATTATTTATTTTTTACGGATCCGGCGACTGGGACCGCGGTCCCATTTAATTGCGGTCCCAGTCGCCGGAAGCCTCGATTTGTCGTCTTATATTATAATTTCAATACTACTAACCTATTGTACCTAGTAAGTAACCTAGTATTTTTTTAAGAACATATAAGTTCTAAATAAATACTTAGGTTGAGTTGCACCACCTTATTTTAACCGTAACAATAACATTAACCGGTGCTTCTTGTATGGAGTTGGACATATTTTTGACGTTTGTCAAAGTTTAAGTAAGATGGTGCAACTCAGCCTTAGTCTGATTTGTAAAACAGAGATAAATGATTTTATATTAAAGTAATCGTAGAATTCTTCATAAAATATTGATAGATAGAATGATAATAATCATGTTAGCACCTTTTTTCTCGTGTCTGTGTTGTTCTCCGTCGATAGTGAAACCGAATTCGTACGGTCTATTCTCGTCAGTGTATTTATCAGCTCCTTGTGCCTGCAGGACGCACGTTACCATGGCAACGGCCACGAGCAGCCATCTTTGTTGAAGCATCTGAAAATCCAAGATATTCAGTTTTTATTATGGGTCCCAACTTAGTTGGTTCTGCCTGAAAACTGTTTCAAAACCATTTATTTTAAGCTATTTTTAATTTACATCCGATAGAAACGAAGTAAGTAGTTTTCCAAGGCTGAGTTGTACCATCTCACTGTAACTTTAACAAAATGTCAAAAATCTGTCAAACTCCATACAAAAAACACAGAGTAATGTTACAGTTAGTGCAACTCATTCTAAGTCATCGATAATAATTTTCATCAACTTATAAATATTAAGTTTTCACCCACACCTATTTTGTCTGATAATTTCGATTCAAATCAGTTAGACAATATTATTTATTGATATGAATATCAAGAAACGAGCAAATAACGACTAACGACCAATTAGTAAAATCTACAGAACCGTGTTGAGGAGGCAAACATTGCTTGAACACCTTCTGCGATATTAAGTTGGGGTTCTGTAGAAAACTATTTATAAAAAATGTTGTGTACTGTGTTTTTCAATTGGTTTATAACAAAGGTTACATAAAATATTTAATGTACTTATACGGTTTTTCTTTACTCATGTTGTAATGACAAATTTTAATACGATAGTTATATCTTGTTTTGATAGTATTGTTTTTAACACCAGAAAATTTTTTCATCAAAAATTTACACAGATATAAGAAATTTCAGGTTTTCTTGAATTTCAATTTGTTCTGGGAATCATTTAAAGTTTTTCTCTTCATAAAAATTTCCGCAGAATATTTGCACCACCTAACTTTGACCGTAACTATAACGACACCCGGTGTTTTTAGTATGGAGTTTGACAGATTTTTGACGTTTGTCAAATTTAAAGTAAGATGGGGCAACCCAGCCCAAGTATTATATTTATTTGAAAAGAAAAGGCTGAATTGGTTTGAAACTAAGAAACTCATAAAGAAAATATATGATTAATTTTTATTCCTAATAGTAGGTAGGTACCTATATTCTTCTATAGATTGAATTGATAAGAATATTCCATAATTACCATCAATTCTATACAACATTACAATGAATCAGACCTTAACTTATTTTTTATGGTAATTTATGCCACTGGACAAAAAAACTTTACGGAATTTTAAAGATGACTAATATGGGCTCGCAAGTAAAACTCAAGGTAGGTAAGTAAGTGTTTTGAACTTTCTTGAGGCAGAATCTCGTAATTTAGCACTATTCTACAAATATATATTTATAGTCCTTAATATGCAAGTAACTATTGCGTCAAAAATCTAATTTTTATATTTAATAGTTCTGTTCTTAAGTTGCAATAAGTATTGAGGTATTTTAAAACTTTTTGGTGCTAATTCAAAAAATCTTGTTCTTTATTATTTATAGGCAAATAAAACTATGGTTCGAACAATAAACCTGTTAAACAATAACGTGTTATAAAGTTTAGATTTTAGCTAATATAAATATATCTCGCCCAAAAAGTAATATCATAACATTTAATACTAATAGAGTTTAAGCTTACATTGTTACTAACACTATAATATGGACCCTGGTTCGAAATAAACGTATTTCATTTTATTTGATTTTTATTTAAAGTGAAAAACCCAAGCTCAAATTAGAGATTTCTAAACGTATTTAGCATTAAAAGGTAATAATTTATTATTTATTCTGTCGCCGCGTTGGTAACTGGATGTTTGCCTTAGTAATGGCATGCGGCCTAGCCTAGCTTAGTCACTAAAAAGTTTTAGTCACGTTTTATTAACATGATCCGATTGTAACTAAGTCCAGTAGACAGTTACTAACTGGAATTTTAAATATGAATAAAATATTTTATGATATTTGCTGCTTGTCTACCTATTAACATATAATAACACAATATTGGTTGCTTCGCGAAAATTAAAAACAATAGATTTATTTGTTATAGCACATTTGCTTATAAATCGGCTCATTGCATACCTTTTGAGATAAATGCAGCTTACGTATGATTAAACACTTGTGAGAACTATTTGAAAGTAAAGAAATATTTTTTGTATCCAAAACACACAAATGAGCATAATGATTTTTGTAGATAATATTTTGGATATTTTCAATTTGATGTCTATCTTTTATACTTTTATGTACTTATTCATTATACATTATTACGAAAGAAAAGCATCATGCTCTATAATAATTATGTTACTTTCGCTGGAGTGTGCATTGTTCTGCAAGTACAATGTAACCATAACCTTGTAAAACTTCGTAAATAACTACAATCGAAAATGTACAACTTCGTTCAGAATTAATTCTCATGCCTACAACCCTACATATTATCATAAGGTAAATCGATATTGCACTACTTGATTTGATTTTGATGTCTTGAGAAACATCGGCACTTGTAATTAAATCAACTGGTAAGGAAGATTCAAAAATATTTATAACTTTTTGAACATTCAAATTTATTTATAACGTTTCAACAGTATTTTATGGCTATGAATTTTATGTAAAAATTAATTTAATTCAAGCTTAAAATTTTATTTTCTTGATGGCGTTGATGTTAAGATGAAATATAGAGTAGTAAATGATTTTACGATTACAGTAAATAATGTAATCAAATTGTATTGATGAGTATCAAAGGCGGATATAAAAAATAATTAATTAGATGCGATTATTATTTATAAAACATTATGTTTGAATGAATATTAAGAATGTCCAAAATTAAGAATGTTAATTAAGCAACTATGAGCTTTACCACACAAGCAATTATTATTTGGTGATAAATAAAGTGTGAATAGTTAATTTTTTAATTAATAAGTAATATCATAAAGATAATTGTAAATTAAATTAGCGAAGTGTAAATTACGACTATAGTACGACTATAGTCAATGTCTATAGGACTAACAAACTAACTAAAAAAGTGCACGAAGTTCATCATTTGGGCAACTAATTAACAAATCAACAAATATTTAATCAAAATAATTGAGTTAAATTAATTACTATGTTAGCATGCAAATATGAAAAAGAATATAATGTGGTGGAATTGTCTATGTTACTTTATTATGATTTTACTATGAGTATTAATTGAAATATGCAATAACCTTATTAATTAACATGAGTCCAATTTAATAAGGTAGGCCACGAAATTTAACAAAATGTAGAGTTAAATTAAACATCATTTTAATGACAATGGCTCAATGACTGGCCTATTCAAACTGATTATTATTTGATGTTACAGTTAGTTCAAAACTATCTTAAACTGGGCAAACTTTAACTATTCGTTTACTTTGTTATAAATTTAACTAGTGAGTAGTGCCTTATTACATTTATCTGATTATTCTAAGGTTGTTAAATACACAAACGCTTGGTTGATTGATGGCACGGTAGTAAACGGTATTAGACGGAAAAATATCTAAGAGATAAATGTGAAAACTTTTAAATTCTCATTAATTTTTATTGCGGTGATTTATGGCGTCTGGATGCATTGACATTAAAACAATTTAATAAAAGTATATAATGGGGCTTGGATTGTGGCGAAAAATGATTTATTTATGAATGAATTAGGTGTTTGCTCACCGTTAATTTAGCATAGCACCTGTGAAGCCGGTTTTCTTAAAATATCTCAACGTGAAAGCCTTTTGGGTATTGAACCTCTAAAGATACTCTTCACTGTTTGAAATGTGACATTTACAAAAATCTGGGATAGATAGCTAAGATGTTGGTTTTTACACGACGAAGTTCTTGGCCTGCATCTCACCAGATGGTAAGTAATGATCAGGCCGAAGGTGGAAGCGATCTGATTTGATTGAACACTAAATAACTGTTAATTAAGTTCTCGTGTAAGAAACACAAAAGGCGGTCTTGTTGTTAAAAAATCTTATCTTATTAATTTTGGGTCTTAATCAGCGTTACCAGTTTTTTTTTCCGCCAAGTCGGGACTTAGGTACTTTTTGAGTGAAAATAGCGGGATTCTTCCGTCAGAAGCGGGACATAGTAAAAAAACGTAGTTATACAATCAAAGTTTTTCAAATATTTATCTTTTTATTTGACTTTAAATTACGTTTACGTGACAATAGATAGCAAAAGTAGCCATAGAAAATGTATTTTAACAAAAAAATAATATTTTAAATCAGATTTACTCTACCGTTAAATTCGTCTGTAGAATAAAAAAAGAAAAAAAAAGAAAAATTTTATTATTTAGAATAATATGGCGTTTCAAACAATAGTCTGGTGAAGTGCGTGTCTCTCTCCGAAAAGCGGGACCGAGCCTGTCCCGCGCGGGACATATAAATTTGATTTAAAAATCGGGACGTCCCGCCAAAATCGGGACGTCTGGCAACGCTGGTCTTAATGCTCTTCCAGATGCCTAGTTTGAGCTCGGTAGAGAAATCGATAATTTCTAAACTTGTATAATCAAAAGTAAGTAGGGTTAAATAAGGTAATTATAAACAGGGGCAGGTATATGAAACGTCCCCATTACTATTTAGTAGACAGTACGTACAAGTTAAAGATATGAATATGTAAAGATTGACCATTTGAAATTACCCTTGACCTTAATTATTAAAACTTAATTATTATACATTTATCAAAGTACTTACATTTGTTAGGTAAAGTTTTTGTTAATGAACACCTAGGAAATGTTGAATTTAAAAAAGAATTGGTGGTAAATTGAAAGAAGCTTGACCTCCACTTTCAAGCTTACAAGCTTATTTTTATATAAATTACATGCATGATGCTGTGTCTAGACGATTAATATCCTATCATTAAAGGTAAGGTTTCCTTCACAACATAAATATTTTGAGTATAACTGCTCTTCTTAGCTGACTTCCATGAAAGCTTTAGAAAATATTTTTCTATTGTTTGTGATTTTTCCTATAGGCATAGGCACATGTGTCTTCAGTTTAATTAAACTTTATAATTTAAATATAAATAAATAAAGACTATTCACATACCTACAGACTTTCTGTTAAAGTTTGACTTATCGAAAGAATGAAAAGACTTTTTTTGCGATTTGTGCTTTAATTGATCTATTCCGAAGTAATACCAACATCTAATACCAATGGTATTATTGCTGAATGTTAGTTTATTTTTATTATTAGGTAAGTGACCTATTAACGTATTCATACTAATTAACAAGTAGTGTTGTATGTGTAATAAGTATTTTGATATATTATACGAGTAATTTGTGTTTATAAAATATTTTATTTGGTAAATTTTTGATTAGGTCAGTAATTTTCTTTCACTTGATTATTAAATTATCACTCTGCTTTACTTGTTAATTTTATGTCACGTTAATTAGTTTAGATGGATTACCAATCACGTTAATTTTATATATTGAGCTAGTTTATTTATGTTGGTATTAATTCTAATCCAAATATTAGGGAATATTAAAAAAAACATTAAATTACGAAAAAACAATAACAGAATACCTAGTCCATTTTTAATAGTTATCGCTCTATCATCAATAATATCACATATCACCTGCAATTAAATGTAAAATGTACCTTATGTTTTGAAAAATCCAGATGACACGAGGGCGTGGACTCCGGTGGCCTGTGCGGCCTGTTTCGCAAGAGTTCGCACGAGACTGTGCCATCACTTTGGTCTACTCACGTAATTTATTAAAGCACATCCACAGAACAAATGTGTACGTAGAATAGCTCATCTTCACGACGCACATTTTGCCTATTGGTAAGCATAGAATAAGTTTATCACATTGGTGCTCGAGTGGATCAGGTACTAACGAACGTGCGATGAATTAAAAGTGCTTGGAGTGCGGACTCTGGGATTTTCGAGTAGGTTATAAACTATAGGTACTTTTTACTACCTTGGAATTAATAAAATGTTACGTAATAAACGAATCATTATGGAAAAAGTTTTAGTGTATTTTTTCAAGTTTATTTTATCTTATCCAATGACTTTGGTTTAGAGACAGAGCACTTGACTACCTAGGTGTAAAAATAAGCAACATTAGTTAAACAAATATAAGATGCATACATAAATAAATACATACAGTAAATATGAATCGTCCATAAATCCGTTTTGTTCTATGTTGAAGAAATCATATTATGTATAGGGTGACCTCTCTGTATTTGTATGCTAAAATGTTTGCTCTATCTTCACTTAAATCCTTGTGAAAATAATCGTAATCGATAGCTATATCTTTGCAGAATATTTATGTAGGTATAGTTGGAAAGAGGTTAGGTATACCTACACCAATTTCTAAAAAAATGTTTCTTGGTAGTGACTACAGTCGCCAGTATACTCGTATTTTAAACTACTTTTTGTTGCAAAACTGCATTACTAAGTTAAACTAGATCAGATATCACTTTGTTTTAAACTTGATGTGCTGCCTCTAAGTCAAGGAATATCATAATGTCTGCATAATTGATGCTCACGTTTGTTCAACATAGGAAACAGACAGTACCTATAACATGAACTGTTCTAAATTGCCCAAAATATGTAGGTACTACACAGTTAGCTTAAAGTTAGTAAAAATCCTGACCAACCCATGCTTGCATTCATTCTAGTTCTATATTACAACCCATTCTTCTAAGGTTCAAACATAGAATACCAATAAAAAAACCTGATAACTTTGAGACAGATCACTTATCATCAGGTAAACCGTCTGTTCGTTTGCCTCCTGTCACATAAAAAAACACTTACAAAAATTACATTTCTAAAAATTCATGTCTCTCTTTTTTTCTTTATCTGTCTACCTATTAATCATAATCTTTAATTTTATATCAATTCTGGTGAAAGAATTGAAATTGATAGATCGCAAGTATCTTACATCCACTTGAATGACAATCAAATTGTATAATGAGGGTCTATAAAACACATAAATCAAATTAACACGACTTGTTAACCTGTTTTAATGACTGATTACCGTTAGATAGAATATAATTTAACAGATTTATGTCCTTTTTTTGGTAAAACTTGTTCCAGGTACTAATTTAAGATGTTATAATCACTAATAGGTTCTCGTTCTCTCTAGTCAAGGCGGTGGACATGGGTCATGGATTAAGAAATTCTAATCCGTTTTATCCTTTTGGAGAATTCTTGCTAATTTTGTAAATACCTACCACAATTATTGGTTTAAGCAATGGTAACTAACATTTTGTAAAGGTCTCTTATAAATGTAATTTACTAGGCCTTTACTAAATACAAATCAAATATAAATTAAGTATTTAACAACATTTGAAACTTAAGCTATTTACAGTACAGTGAAAAAGGAGAACTAGCTGTTTCATTAAAAGGGGTAGTAAATTGGTTTAAAAATCTAGAGGGTCACCTAACCCTGTAGTTTAGAGGTATCTGTGAGTCATAATATACGAGTAGTTCAATCCACTTTATTATCAAGTTACCACGAATAGTAATGATGGTGTGTAAAGAACATGTTATGTTCTCAATTTACTTTTATAGTTAATACTCTAAAATTACGAGTAAAAAATCTACGAATCGTAATTATTCTAAGATTTTCGTTATTATACAGGGTGGAAACGATAAGTGATCTCACTCGATTATTTCTAAACTATACAAGATATCAAAAAACTAGTTACTGATTCCGAAAGTGCTTCATGAGCTCTATCAAACGGTATCCATAAAAGGTTACAGAATAAACTTGATATATCCGAAAATTCAATGTTTCCATCTTTCATACATTTAGTACAGCAACATAATATTAAAGACTACACAAGATTTCGTAAAACTGGCTACTAAAAGCTCTTTGCAACTATATCAATAATGGGTTAGGCCCTTTTTACACGTCCCGGTTGCCGGCTAACCGGCGCCGGCAAAAGTGGCAACCAGGACGTGTGAAAAGGGCCTTACAGAATAAACCGGATATATCCAAAAATTTTATGATTCCATCTCCTAAACCTATTATTCCTATTCCTATTTAGTACCTACTACCACAGTCATGGCACTCATCTCTTGATAATTACTAAAGCAAGTAAAGCCTAAACTTAATGTTTTCCATAAATAATTTGAAATTTCTAATATTGTGTTGTTGACATTATATTTAGTATGGACTATGGAAGCTGGAAACATTGAATTTTCGGATAGTTCTAGTTTATTCTGTAACATATTCTTGGTATCGTTCAAAAGAGCTCTTGAAGCACTTTTAGAGTCGGTAACCAGTTTTTCGATGCCATGTATAGTTTAGAAATAATCGAGTGAGATCACCCTGTATATTTTTTTCGGGTAAACATCTAAAGTAAGTTGTTCATCGGTATTTACTTTAAACAATCACATAACACTGAATTTGAATAAATGATTATGCATTAGTAGTCAGTTTTACGACTATCAACACATAAAATAATATCTGCGCTTTGACATGTTAATTGTTTTTTACAGTTTATTTAAGATATAAAATTATCTTCTAATGTATTTTTATTTTGATCAAGAAATACATAAAATTTGGATTTCCTATTTTGCCGCTGTAGATTACGAAATATCCAAACACGAGAATATAACAACCGTATTCACAAACGATGCTTGCTTATGAAATGTAGTAAATCGAACGTACACGTTGAATAGAGCTCTGTGATTGGTTCGTGTGTGACCCTGTGTGTCCACGCGCACTGTGAGACCTCATAGTAATGTTTGTGAATACGGGCGTAAGAGTATCTTCAGTAACACGTTTACTTAATAAAAAAATATCAATTTATGCGAAGTTGACTTTTATTGCTATGACAGCACAGCGCGTGTATGTGTTAGGTATGTTAAGTTTATTATAGAGATTAACAAAACTATCTTATCTATATTGTTTGAGTTAAAAATTGAGCCTACATTAATAATTTGCACAGTCTGTTTTTAAGTGTATTCAATAATTTTGAAAGGAATTAAGGACTTAATAATATAATTAATGCAATAAACGTTTGAATTTGAATTTGACTTATCTATTAAACTAATGAAACAGGTACAATAATGGTGATCAGATGAAATATACCTGAGTACTATATATCGTAAAGGTAGCAGGAAGGCGCTGGACGCAGGCCGCTACCAACCGGGTAACATATGGCATTGGGGGTGGCCTATGTTCAGTACCTCTAGTAGGAAAAACTTTCGAGTTCGTTTCGTTGCGTATTCAAAGTGTCATCGAAAAATTTTGTATGAAAAATTAAACAGCGCCCCCTATATTATAGCCGCCCTAGGGGGCGCTGTTTAATTTTTCATACAAAATTTTTCGATGACACTTTGAATACGCAACGAAACGAACTCGAAAGTTTTTCGTACTAGAGGTACAGCAGTGGACGTTCTATGGCTGAGATGATGATGATGTTCAGTGGACGGCATAACAACCTGCCTTAAAATTGGATTGCCACTTATTTATTCAGTCAGGTGTCGATATCAGACAAAAATTCAAAGTTGCCAGCAGTAAAATCACTAATCATATACTCATCATCATCATCATTAGTTATTTTAATGTTACCAACCACCCAAGATCCGCCCATTTGTGGCGCCCTAATTCAATGTTAAGGTTAACATTTGAATCAAATGTACAGTCTAACTAATTGACAAAGGTCATACACGAGTGTTGAATGTTTATCTTACAATTACCGTACAGAGCAATCAAGGTAACGTGATGAATGGATGACTGAACATCATTTTTTTCTTTCCACAGCCAAATAGATTATTGTGTCCTTCTTGTATTATTAATATTAAATAATTAATATTTTAATCTAAATATTTACAGTGAATTTTGAATTGATGGAAATTCAGGCCTATTCCATAATTCGATTGCGCTTTTTTCCGAGTAAAGGGTAGTAAGCCAAACGTATGTGCCTACTAGTCCAGTCAATGAATGCTTTAACAACGGTGTAGAGAGAAATCCCTGGAACACAATTTCTGACCTCGGGAGTTCGGGACCGGAAGTCAAAAATTGTGTTCCATGGATTTCCATCTATAATGCTTTATTGACTGGACTATACACCAAGAATGCGCTTCACAAAAAACACATTCAATCATGTTTTGAACATTATTCTTGTTAGTATGTAGTAGTTGATGTACGGTTACTACACAGACGTCGTGGATTTGATCCCGAATACTACAAAATATTTGTGAGGAAATTCAATATGGGTTTTAGGTGTTTTATATACATAGGTATGCTTTTGCCTAGAGATACCAATTCTGCATACCTATATCTTATCTGATATCCAAAGCGCAAGCATTTGTAGATATTGAGCTAGATGGCCCATACATTTTGTAATAAAATTATTATGCCTGCTGCTGATAAAAAAATAAAAACAAAGACTAAGTGACAAGCCCATATACCATAACTATGCGGAGCCGCGGGCAGGCGGTAGTGCTAGAGATTTGCAGACTCGATAAATTATTCTTCTTCCGTGTTATTCTTGCAAGAATTACCTACCTATCTATTTATACTGAGAAACATAAATAAAATTGTTAAGGCTCCTTTATTAAAACATATTAATTTAATCGTGATGTTTTTCAGATTCGCAGTTTAATTTACAATGTACTTATAAATAAATGAGATTGTTTTTCTTTACATAATGCTTGCTCTAAAAGTTGTAGCCGCAAATGTCATAATAACAAGCTCAGAGTGACGAAAAAAAGTTCATAATTAACTCTAAGGTCCGTAGGAGATGATACAGTGAAAAACTCAATCAAAAGCGCATAGATCAAGCCTCTAATTGAATTAAATTTGCATTAATTACAGAATGTATTTTGGAGTATACTGGTAAAACAACACTCAAAAACTGGAGGTTCAAAAGTTTGGCTTGGTGCTNTTGGTGGCTTGGTGCTATTTTCTGAAGCAGCCTGTATATTAAACGATACTAATTATTGAGTAGATGTATATATGCGCCTTAAAAGGGTAAACCATGCTTATGAATTATCACAAAGTTGTATAATGTGAGTCTATTTTGTCAAATGTAGATTTATTATAGCATGACCTACCGTATCGATGCAGTTCAGGAACTTAATGGTCACGATTGATGACACCCGAGCGCGAATAAATTCAACGGGAGACAAACTTATAGCAAATAAACACCTATTGTGTTTAAATGTCGTGGAATTAATTACATTGATATTCATGAAAATTCTTTATCATCCATAATTTGTTAGTTATGGATGGCAGTATACTTATAAATTGAACGGAGCTTTTAACAGCAGTCATATCTTTAAATAATGTTTAATTTATTCTGATTTTGATGTTAAAATCAATTGTTAAGATATTTTTTTTTAATAAGACGTTCGTTGCTAATGCTTTAGACCTTCTTTATTCAGCAAGTCCTATCATGTAAGGTACAGAATTTATTATAAAATGAGACAGGAGTAGGAGTATGTAGAACATTATTTGTGAATAAATAGATTGCTTGTTTTCTTAGACACTAACTTACGGTATACTGTGTAAATGGGAAGCTTTATTATATTTTATACAGGTAGGTACTAGCGGCCGCCCACGACTTTGTACGCGTAGATCCCGTTTTACCCCCTTAGGGGTGGAGTTCACTATGTCAGTCAGTCAGTCAGTCACCTTTGAGTTATATATGTATATTTAGATTACACATTGTATGCTTGACAATAAAAGCTGCTATAGAATTAAAAAAGTCGGCCATGTGCGAGTTGGACAGGGTTAGTAGTAGTTTCGCACGATTTTCCTTCGCACGAATGTTCAATAATAAATTTTTTTAGTAGGCGTTTCGCCCGGTTGTATTAAAAGTATTAAAATCTCGTGCGAATCGACTCTTTTTTGAACTAGTAGTATGCGATTACTAGTTCTCAAAGGGGTCGATTCGCACCCGTTTTTAATACTTTTGATAAATCCTACTAAAAAAAAAATATTAAGGAAAGGGGACGTTTCGCACATTCGTGCGAAGGAAAATCGTGCGAAACTACTACTAACCCATTGGACACGCGCGAGGTTTCCGTCCAAACTTGTAGGTAATGTGTTCCTGAAATTAAGATTTCACAAAAATAGCGACAGTGGAATCTTAGTAGAGTCCCGTTTTTACCTTTGAGTACGAAACACTAAAATCATCATTCAAACCAAATCAAAGTTTGGAACACACGAACGTGAAACAGCTCTCAACACCTGCATTTATTTGTAACTTACCATTCTCAAAACTATGTAATTGCTAATAGAAATTCATGGACTCGTAACAATTTCGCCTGTCGTTTTTAAATAAAAGATATATTAATATTTTATTAAAAAGATAATAATTTATCGAAGCAAGTAGGGCTTTTATTTTACAAAGGTTTGGAAATAATTACTTTCTTACCTAACTAGTGCAACCTACTACTGCTTGCTTCTTTTATATAAAAACGACAAGCAAAATTATTATTAGTCCATGAATTTCTCTTAGCAATTACATAGTTTTGAGAATGGTAACTTACATTAACTTTAACAAACATGTCGCGGAAGTCTAAGGCTACGGCCGGATACTCGCGACACCCACTCGGGCGATGACGGAACGCCGCGGAGGTTTTAGTAGGTATACCCCGTCCTTTTCAGGACGGAGCAGCGCCCTTTTCAGGGCACCGGGAGTCCGACACACCACCCTGTCCCCCGGCAGTGGAGGTGACGGTGCGCAAAGCATTTCCTCCACGACAAAAAAATGTTTTATGGAAACGAAAAACTCTTAGGCGATTCAATGTCTATAGTTTCTTAGATGAGAAATTGCTTTGAAAATAGAGCTAGGCACAAGCATTTTCCAGAGATGCATATTTTAGAAATGCCATGTTTTTTATATACTAATACGAATTAGTATAATAACGCAATCAAATATGCTTTGATTTTGTTTCCCCTTTCTGATCATTTTTTAATCTACCTAAAAAAACTACTACTACTCTAAAAAGTTAATCCTAACAGATTACGGATATATTTGATTTTGAAATTATTTTTCTCTAACGCGTTTATGTCTTTTGGTGGGTTAGTAGTAGTTTCGCACGATTTTCCTTCGCACGAATGTAATTTTAAGGCCGGGTAACAGAGAAAATGGCGAAAATGAGGTTTTCATTTTTCATTTTTGAGGTACTAAACAGTAAAATAAAAGGCTAAGATTTTTTTTGGGCATAGTTGAGGATATTTTCTAGGGCTATTAACGGATGGAAACACGATTTGATGAAGTTGACTCGATAGAATAAATTCCCAAAGTTACCTCTATTCGTTTTCTAATAATGGTTTTATTTTTAAACTAAACGATTTGAGATTCTGAATCTTTTACTAAACTAAAGTTTAGAAACAACTTGAGGGCTTTTAACGGATGAAATTTTTATATTGCGTCTTATTTAGTTACNGTAGTTTTAATTTTTTTCTCTTCTCACTCATTCCTTCATTATTTGTGGTTAATAGAAATAGAAATATTTATTTGTCTTTAAATAGGGTGTACAGAAGGTCGAAAATAACAAAATATGATCACCTATCCAGCCATCAACAATAGCATGCAAATATATCGAAGAAATATTGATATTACATATAATTATTACGGTATTACTTTTTGCTGATTATTTCCTATAGCTTAAAAATTCTTGGAGAGAGTAGAATAATCGCGCGACAAGCCACTTTTGCAATGTGGTCTTAAACTGTTTAAAGGACAGTTCTTTAATATCTTGAGGAAGTTTATTATAGATTTGGACACACATGCAGATTAAAGCACTGAACTGAAATAGGTAATAATTAAAGCACTGAACTGACCAGGATGAATTACTTTAAATAAACAACTTGTAAAACCGAACTGCCTAAGGCGGGAATCGAACCCACGACCTTTCGCTTGCTGAGCGACTGCTCATCTATCTGAGCTACTTACACTGGATGAATGGATGACTAGTTTGAGAAGCGACTCTAATCGCTAAGAAATTCTAATGAACAGGATGAATCCTGTAAAATTACTTGAAATGATATGGGGCACTTACACCGGCTTATGATAAAGTTTAAAGTTATCTGTAATAACGATATCTAACAAGTAAGGTTACTGATTAGGCCAAAGCTGTTGCATAACCTTGCTCTATCTGTCAGATATCTCTATCTGAGACATATACGAGTAGATTTGAAACAGGGATATTGGTACAGACGGCATGTAACTCATCATAATGACATTGAGCTAATTATGTCTATTATTAGTAGCTAATTAAAAATAATGACTAATTATTGAGATAAACTAAAATGATTATGGAACTAGTCGATATAAGTACTTTAAAATTAATAAAACAATTATGTATCTTATATAAAAAAGAAAATTTCTTATGTTATCACAGACAAGTTCTCATCGCCTCCAAGTGAAGAGATAGATACCAAATTCATCAAAATGAAATCTGTAAGTAGCTATACCATTTCAATTAATTTGTATACAACTAAAAAAGTATTTAACAGTTAATAAATGCGAGTGACATGTGGATTTATGTACTTATTTATTTATTTAAAGTTAATACATTTCACATGTCACTAAACATAGAAAAAGTACTCGATTTTGTTAATTAGTTAAAATAAATGATGAATGGAAAGTGTAATATCTACGAGTATCACCTTTATACAAGTACTTACATGTCTAAGTTATTCCTAATTCATAAATTGAAGTAATATTATGTTAATGTACTACGTACTTGAATGTAGTTGTATAAACAATCTTTCCATTATTTTTTAATAGGAGATAGATATGTGTGTCAAACGGAGACGATATCATACTTGGGGAAAAACGAACAAGTTAATTCTTCATGTTTGATTTACAGTTCGCTGTCCTTTGCCTGTGTGCGGCGGTGGCCCTCGCAGCGCCAGTTGAGGAGTCGAACCACTCGCAGCCTGCCATGGAGCACATCCACGAGCAAGACGACCTCGGCCAGTACACCCTGAAGTACAGGACTCCCGATGGCACGATCGTTTCCGAGCGCGGCCGACTGGTGCCGACAGCCGACGGCAAAGACCAAGTCCTGATTCACGAGGGTTCGTTCAGCTACATCGGAGACGACGGCAAGACCTACGTCACCAAGTACAAGACAGATATCGCTGGCGCCTACCAACCTGAAGGCGACCATCTGCCCAAACCAGTGGAGCCTGAACCTGTACCCGAGGTTCCAGTAATAGCGTAACTTAAAAAATAAATCAAATTAATAAAAAAACAAAGTAACTTTTTTTTCTAACCTGTATTCCAATTATTCTGAGGAAGTTTACCGACTGCGCAAGGTCCCAAGTGGTCTAAACATCGCTATTATCTTACGACGAAACGGAGACGGTATTTAATCTGTTAAGCTGGACTAAATTAAACTGCGATCTCTAACCCGCCTGCCAAGCGTGGGGATTATGGCAAAACCCTCCGCTAATAGTGGAGGAGGCGCATAGTCCAGCAGTGAACTATAAAGGGCTGTTGATGATGATGAATAGCAACGTAATAAATGAAATTAAATTTTCATTTAGTAAATGTATGTACTTACCTAACGGCTTACATGAATCGCTTTCCATTGCTTGCAGGTAATTTTTCGTAACAAAAGGCCGTAAATTAAAATTATTTAGTTAGGCTGGTGACGATGGCGCTTGACGTTTGATGCACAAAAGGTTACATGTTTCGCCACAACAACGCGTTTCGAAACCATTTTAAATATATTTGTCATGACGCTCTCAAAACTCTACCTACTCAGTTGTAGGTATCTAAAAATTTTACAATACCTCTTGTCTATTGGGTAATTCGCGTGTTCAATGATGGATTATACAGTTTGATCGTAACCTTATTAAAAGTAGATTTTTCATGGTCATGTTATTCTACACTTACATTTGACTGTTCCTGTCTTTCTGCTCTTCTCTATTTAACCCTGGGTACCTTACTTTAATGTAGTTGTATAAATAAAAAAACTTCCAATTAATTTTTTTAGTAGATACACGTATCAAACGGGGAGGACACTCTTCATCATTAATGTTTCATTGGTTAAATTCTTGTCTCTTTTATTTACAGTTTGCTGTCCTTTTGTAATATTATTAAATGTAGATTTTTCATGGTCATGTGATTCTGATGAGTTCAGAAAGTTCACTACATCTACTTTTTACTCTTCCTGTGTCTGTCTTTCTGCTCTTCTCCACAGGCTGCCTTTAAATAATAAATAATAAAAATAAAAATTCTTTATTTCAGACAATTTAAAAAGTCCATATTAAGTGGGTTCGAAATAAACATAAACATAAACACAACCAATAATAAATTCGAAAAATTGTACCCTGTGCATGACGGACCATCATGGGGGTGGATAAGGCCCCGTGATCAGTCTCTGCACAAGACACTTCCATAGCGGCGATGTGTATCTGTCCGCTAGGTTCCTCAGAATGCTGTTGCGACTGGCTCGCTTTAAGACTCGGGTGGATATTTTGCTATACCTGAGATGTAATCATCACTTACCGTCAGATAAGATGAGGTCAAAGTTCAAACGTGGACTCTACTTATAATCATAGAAATTATGAATATGTACTCTAAATATAATCTTGGATGGAAAGATACTGAATTCACTTTTAACGCATTCATCCTGTCCTGTCTACAAAAAGTGTAGTTTTATATGACCTACGACATACGTGCTGTGGCATTTAGCTAGGTTTACGAAATATCTGCGAACACATGCAATGCAAATTTTCTAAGCCTTTAATGTATTACACCTAAGTGCAAATGGTTTTAATGGCTTGCAGAAGGTGTGGATATGCAAAACACAGTTTACTACCAAGTTACATAAGCATCTCTATTGTTGCATTTCAGTCGGTTGTCTTTTATAGTAAAACGATTATTACGAGTACATCTATTTGTTTAAGGTTAATTAAAAGAAATTTAACAAAATCGTACCTAAACATTCTCGTAATATTAAATTTCGTAAATACTTATTAGATTTAGAAGAAATAACAGTTAAGTAATTTAACATTATATTGCACATTAAAATTCTGTATACGGATTTAAGTAAGATCACATTATAAATTAATCATGAACCGTCATAAAAACCTTGTTTGACGTTTTGATTTTATGTGTACTCTATACATTCACTACAAGTGACGAAACTACCGGGTGTTTTAGTACCTATACTTATACATACCACATCTACTTGCTTTCAGCAGATACAATAAAAGTGTACATATTAACTTATCGCTAATTTAGTAATTCGCGAGCCGTTGCATGGAATCTTCAGTTCTTTCTTCGCGGAGAGACCCGCATTAATACTCGTATTAGTTCAAAAGTGACATGTCTCTATGAGGCACGCACAATAATTCATTAAGGTTCGTCTTCTTGCCACACCAAGAAAACAAAATCATAATGTTATCGGTTCATGGCAGTACAGTAAATCGCACGGTGTTGTTTGGTTACGCAAGACTTTTTTGTCAGGTATCGTTAAGATAATTGTTATCTAATGACTGTGATAATTGTGGGTGCTGTGAGATTCAGCCCCATTAGATTTTGTTCCTGGTGTGGACCAGTCGTCCTTGGATGATCAGCAGTGGGTAGATAATTCTTCTTTAATTGTCAGTCGGTTGTTTTGTTTTAGGGCAACATTATAGTTATTATTAGTTTTCTTTATTACCTTATGCTATCAAAGACCCCTTTGAAACCCTTTTATTAATTTTGAATCATATATAAAATTAATATGAATTAGTAAACATTTTAACAAGCAGAGGAAACAAACAATGACGGTTTTGTGTAGTACACCTAAAATAACTGGAACTTTAGGTGTAGTAAAAGTTTTAAAAACGTTAACGGTCTCCAAGATCGTAATAAAAGACAAATTAAAGTAAAATATTTATTATCATCATCACAAGTGTTTTAATACAAAAAATACAAAAGTACAAATGATTATTCTTATGGCACAAGAATTTAGATGCTATGATCTCGCATTCTTTGCGCTCGTTGCTAGCACAATGGGTAATACAACTGAGATCGTGTTCACTGCTAAACGTTGAAGAACATGAACTTTTCTATCTAGTGGCTGGAAAGGGCCATAGTGTACTATACAAGGAGTATTTACAGCGATCAGAGGATATATTGTTTACTTCTGGCCGAGGGAAGTCTTGGGTTGGAAGCCGTTGGGACCGGCGGTGAAGGTGACGGTGTAGTGCTTGCCATCGGGAGCGACGTACGAATACTGGCCAGTAACTGTCAGGGCTGCGTTCTCAGACTGAGGGTTGTCAAGCTTGCCTTCTTCCTGGCGGGATGTGCCGTCGCTAGTTTCGTACCTAAATAGAAACAGCATCATCATTATCATTATCATCATCGTCAGCTTGTAAATACTATTAAATAGGCAGCACAGTAAGTGGCTCTGGGCCGTTTGCATTCAGCGGCTTACCGCAACTTAACCAGGTCATCGGTCATCAAACAATGAATATAATAAAATAAGCTAACACTTTAGGTAAGTTAGAAAATAAATTTTGGTGCAGTGCTTTAAATTTTGGCTATGGTTATGTGACAACATTATGTAGTTACTATAGAACCGCAGGTTTAAACTTCGCATAATCCAAACTAATTTTATTAAAGAAAAAAACATTATGTTTATCATGATTTGATTGTAACACCAACGCAGTGGCAAGATTTACGATGCAGTAGAAATTAACTATGATCTTTTTTTCAAATTTCTATGAAAATGTTTGCAGTTGCTGCAAAACTTTTCTGCATCGTTGCAATAAGAGTGATTTTCCTCCAAAAAAAATTTCAGCTATGTGTTTTCGACAACCTATTTTTAATAATCTATTTAATTAGGTACTTACGCAAAGCTGTAACCGTCAGGAAGGACGTCGCTGTCATAACGCAGGATTTGAACGTCCTGGGGGTTTTGTTGGGGTGCGCCAGCGCACAGCGCTGCCACCAGGCACAGGACTGTCACCTGTAAGGATATTTCTATTGAAAAAACGTAAAAAGCTCTTCTTTATAGGGTTGTTAATATTCGAGTTTGCAGCAGCGAGAAAGGGGAAGATAATCCTTCTCTCTTCTCTCTCTATCTTTTCCGTTTTAAATGGGCAATAAACATGTTTTTATGTGAACGTAGTTTTAACAGCGCTATTAATTTTTTGAAAGTTATTTTTAAACAAATTTAAATTTTTCACCCCTTTAATCCATGTGTTCATGGAGGTAGTAAATAACCGTTTTTGCCATGGACGAATTTAGAAATATTTAAAATAAACATTTTTAAGTATTAAAGAGTTACCACAAACGCAAATATAATGTAACAAATAAATAAACCTATAATATTTGTCATTTAATTGCCGAAAACGATCAATAATAGTGTACGATTAGTTCTAAAGCTTCATTGACCCATTGCAGTTTGTCCCAAATGAAAGCGAATCCGATGTTATGGGTCAGGTTTCCATTGTTCTTGTCCATCGGAACCTCGTCATTTCACAGTTCGGAGAATACATCACAAGAGTAACGACACACTTTCGCAACAGGTTGTAAGCAGTGATTATGAATTTAAACATTAACACACAAACTGCGACCTTCGATGCTTATTGTAATTATTATTTAACAAAAATTATTTGAAACTCACGTATTTGAGCATGGTGCTTAGTATTCGTGGTGAGCACAAACTAACGAATGAGTAACTAGTGTAGGTCGTTCATTTTATATATTCCCAAGATTCAGCTCTTGCATGCTGACATCATGTTAGGATGGGATGCCGCGACGCGCTCCACACCACTCACAGTTTTAAAGACCTCAAGATTTTTTGTCAACTTTGGGCATGTCCACTTTTCAAATTCTTATTGGGTTGAAGAATCAGAGGTAATTATTACATAAGCCATCACGACATCTTTTGATAAATGCAGTGTTGATTTGATGTTTAAAAGATACTTATCTGATGTTAGTTTAAGTTGCGATAGATTAAGTGTTTGTGAATCAATTGAAGGTTCAAGTATTTTGTAAAATGGTAGCTGGTTCAGTTCGCGATTTATAGGGCTGGTATGCAATTAGGACTAATAAGCTACCATATATGTGTTAATTACTATTTCCTAACTAGGTAGTTCATCCTTTCATCTCTTTACGCTATAGATCCATGTTTGCCATTATGCGTAATCGCGTTGAAGTAAGTTATTAAGTAAAGTATTTATTTTGTGGTCACATTATGTTTACAACGATAATCGTGAACGATAATCACGATATCATGAACTTCAGGTGTCTATCCTAAAATAAATATCACTGATAACATCTAAACAGGTTTATACCTAATAAAACCCATCTTATTTTAAAAATAAATAAGGCACTGGCAGTGCATAATATCAACTTCATACACAGTTCGCGACAATATTAAGTAATAGTACGTGAGTGAAAACACAATAGCTCATTTGAAAGCTTCATATCATTGTAATCATGTTGACATGCGTTTGCAAAAGCTTTGTCAATGTTTCGTGGGTTTCTTACTGGGATTTTTTCCTAGATAAATCTGAAATAACTTCTCCTATTCGTCCATTACGCAATACGTCAATCAACAGTAGGTTGCATAGGTTAGGTGCGTTGGTAAACTTAAACAAAGTGGTGACAACATTATGTAGTTATTTCATGTTATTAAAAAAGTCTTCATTAAGTATTTCTTAGTTTATATTTAAACTTATATAGCTTATGTGCATTTATTATCGTATCCTAAAAATCATAAACAATGCTATTAAATTTCATGGACAATTATAGCCTCATCACAAATTGATGAGTGGATTTTTATTACTGGCATCAAAGATACCGAAAATATTGACGGATTGAGATTTAACGATAGGATTTCCATAATATCCAAGTATTTATAGAAATAAATCTAAAGTTAGCATAACAGTCGGTAATAAAGATGTTTAAAGCAGACAGTAAAAATAATTACGCAATAACAAACAATGCAATGTTAGGTTTGCTTTATGTCATGTAAACTTGACATTGTTTAGTATTGGACAAATACAGGATATAACGGCTTAATCTCAAAGGCCCACAACTATATTATTTTCAATAAATTGTTCATACTTTGATTCCCAACGGCTCTAACGAGTTCCACGACATCTATATATATAAAAATGAAACCCGTTTCGCGTTGTCACGGCATCACGTGTGAACGGCTGAACCGATTTCGATAATTCTTTTTTTTAAATGTTTGTGGAAGTCCAAGGATGGTTCTTACGGAAAAAAATATTAAGAAAATCTCTACGCTAAGGCGGTACGAAGTTCGCCAGGTCAGCTAGTTAAAAATAAAAAAGCATTTTCCTAATACTTATATTTTAAAATTTAATGAACCCAGTGGGAAAAGAAGAACAGAGTCGTGAAACTTTGGGAATAAGCCCATATAACTTGATGGGTCTATCGTCATCAACATCATCATCGCGTTGCCTCAGCCCACTGCTAAGTCTAAGATTCGTGAATACGTCACTGCACCTATCCTTAATAGCAATTAGGTATCTTCGAATGGCTATATCGGCACGGACCTTGAGTGCTGGGCTGAGTCGTCAATGGTAAAAAGGTAGTACGTCAATTGCCGAATGCTAGCTAAGGAACACCACAAAGCCTTTCTTTTTCATCCAGCCCTTGCCTATCGAGCCAGGTGGGCGTCCTACTACAGTCCTACACTGCGAAGAAATTTTTTATGCTTTGTAAAAGTAAAGAATCAAAAACATCCAACATTATTACAATGTTTAAAAAAGGAAACGTTCACGTTCGATATTACACTTCTTTAATAACAANAATAACAATAACAAGAGAAATTATGTTCGAGATACAGACAACGCGGCGGCAGGTTCAGCTAAACACCATGGCATCTTAATGCAGTTGTAATAGGTATGCTATTGCAACAAAACTGTGCATTCTGATGTGCTGTCGACTGTACATAGTAATGGCGCATCACACGAGTAACGAATAAAGATCGCGTTGTAAGTAAATAATAGCATGTATCCAATATTGGTGAATCGGTAAAAAAACGTCCTTCACAGACAATCGTTTCTAGTTTTTATAATGTTTAGCTTTAGCTTAGAGTAGGTTATTTTAATTGGAGGTTTTGTTTTCATTATTATTCTTGACGGATCCGATGTAGTTAAGATTTAAATTTAAAGTTCATCACAATTAATGATCTCGAATTTAGTTACTTTTTATAGGTACTTATTATGAGAAGGCATGCGATAACCTTTAAATGATCTTGTATTTTACTTGACATTCACTGTGGATGTTACTAAATACTCGTATTTTCTAGTGTCTTGGTGAGACACTAAAAGTCATAGAAGTCATTTATTTTCTGCAACTAGGTTTTAATAAGTGTTTTTGCAGGTACCAGTATTACTTTAACCTGCCATTGCTTCGAGATAATGCTGAAAAGAAGCAGCACAAAGTCAAAGTCAAAATTTCTTTATTTGTTTAGACTAATAAATAGTACTTACAAATCGTCAAATATTTTGCTCTTAAAGAGCCTCTATATGTCTCATAATCTTTTTACCCTACCAGCGCTTCGAGACCAACATTTGGCAAGTGCTGAGAAGAAGCGCCGCAACAAACTCAGTCACCACTGTCTGCCGGTTAATTTAAATAANATAAATAAATAGAAATAGCAGTAGCACAGGTAGTAGGTACATTTGATTCAGGAGCAATTCACTGAATTTATCACGCATTCTTGTATGGTGTATCTTATAAGAATGGATATACAAAATTGCGTGGTATATTAAACAAGGTAGTGACGTGATCTAGACTTACTGATTAAGATACTTAAATACTAGTAGAAATGAATTGGAATTGAAACTTGGCAATCCAAGTTATTCAAATTTATGTATACTGGTCAATACCAGTCCCCGAAAGTTCACAAACATGACGAGTGAACCAGCCATCGCTTCACTCGACCATATTAGAGGGAATGTAGCGCAAGAAACTCAGTCACCATTGTCAGCCTCTCTTTCAAGGGTTTACAGTAGTACTAGCGGCCGCCCGCGACTTCGTACGCGTGGATCCCGTTTTACCCCCTTATGAGTGGGTAAAACTATGATATTATAATCTTCAACTTTATACATAGTAGCCCTTTTTCATAAAGGTACTTTTAATAATTTTCGTTCGTTCGTTCGTTCGTTTCAGCTAAATGACGTCCACTGCTGGACAAAGGCCTCCTCCAAGGTTTTCCACAATGCACGGTCCTGCGCTGCCCGCATCCAGGCTCTTCCCGCGACCTTTACCAGATCGTCGGTCACCTAGTAGGAGGCCTGCCCACGCTACGTCTTCCAGCCCGTGGTCGCTACTCGAGAACTTTTTTGCCCCAACAGCCATCGTCTCTACGAGCTATGTGCCCCGCCCACTGCCACTTGATTTTAGGTGCCTGTGTGACTTTTAATAATTATGTGCTTTATAAATTGCATGAATATGTATCGTTTGAAAGCAAATTGAATCAAATTGCCTTACAAATGGACAATGGTGTTGTTACGTCCAGGTATACGCCCAGCTCACGACGACACCAAGTGGGTGGTGGAAGTTTAAATAACAATAAGCCATGACCATTTTAATTTATTTCAAACCTACCTACAATTAGGTATGTAGCTATAGCTACAATTACAGCTACTAGGTATATGGGAATATTGAATCAAGCCGTAAAGCATTGACATTATGTATTAAAAGTAAACATGCCTTGACCTATGCCTCTACCTGTGTATCCATACAAATAATCGTAATGACTGGGTCTTCAATTTGCATCAAATGTTTATTATTCTGCAGGTTTGTCCAGTTCTGAAAAAATACCTCTAACTATGCTTTTTGAAATAAAAAATACGAAAAGAAGTTGTATTTGAGACTCTCTTTCAGACTTTTTTCTCACACTTTGTATTTTGATTCGTTTGTTATAAGCAGGCGTACTAGTACCTACGCTACTACTATACAGTTGTTCTATGGCTATGCTATTCAAATTCCCTACTTTTCAGGGCTGGCACGCAAATGCTTAACTACTTTATGTTATGTAAGCCTATAGTCCAGTCAATGAATGCCTTAACGACGGTGTAGAGAGAAATCCGTGGAACACAATTTCTGACCTCGGGACTTTATTTAGCCTAGTTAGGTGGTGAACATAGCAAAAGTCCCCGCCCTTAGCCCTTGAGCCGGCGGGGAGAGGGGGGTTTAAAGGTACCACTTTTCGGTTTTTCGCTTAATCCTCGGAAACTATGCGTCCTAGTGACATGACTACTATGAACCAAAAAAAGCTTATTCAATTTCGCATAGTTTTCGAGGGTTAAGCGAAAAACCGAAAAGTGGCACCTTTAAACCCCCCTCTCCCCGCCGGCTCAAGGGCTAAGGGGGGGGACTTTCGCTATGTTCACCTCCTAACTAGTCTAAATAAAGTCCTGAAGTCAGAAATTGTGTTCTACAGTTTTCCATCTATAATGCTTTATTGGCTGGACTACTAGGCGCAGACCACCAACTTTTAGTTGGACGATAGTTGAGCCCGATTCGAATTTGTATGAAGAATCGGGCGATACCAAATCAGTGTAATGTGCGCACTTTCATACATCTCCATACTGTTCAACAGCCAACTATCGGCCAACTAAAAGTCTGCGCCTAGGCTAACATTGAATTGAAATATTTTGACCGGTCAGTCGCAAGCTTGAGGAAGGCGGTTGACAATAATTGCTACACAGGTGTCGTTTAAAGCATAGGTACTTAGCTATAAAAATGTTAACATTTATTCAATTTTAATTAAGCTTTAGATGATTGAACTTTGTGAATGTAATTGGCTGTTTTGGGGTCTCATTCAATTATGTTTCTTAGCGTGCTTGTATTAGAAACTACTTTAAGTAAATTGCGCTGGTGTGTTGAGGGACTGGGGTCAAGCGACATGAACTCGAGGCATTAAATTGAAGAATAACAGCTAGTAATACTTCAGAGTTAATTCTTAATTTCAAGGAAGTACACTCTACCTCCGATTTATGAAACAATCAAAGCCAGATCCAATCAGATATTAAAGAATAAATCCTAAATACATAGTTGATTACTAAAGTTTTAAACAACCACATACCTGAATCTAATCGAGTTTGATGATTAAAATTATTGTGTATTTTGTCATAATCGAATTTCTCTTTGGTTCAATCACCAAAAAGGCCGTAGGTATGTACCTATATTGTATATCCTAAAAACTATGACTCCGAGCTGTCTACACAATGTGAAATTTTTCTATGATAAAGTAAATTATCCTCGCGTGCTATTTTTATTAATAACCAAATTTTTAGGAGTTCACATCTTGCAAAGTCACCCAGTAGGTATATAGATGTGATTTGTCTTTGATTGGACAGTACAATTCCTTGAAATTATTCACACTTTTGTTGCTACTCGTATTTAGCCAGTTTCAATGAGGGCTATCGTTTTAGCGCTCACCAGTTAGCGCCACTGTAGAGTAAGGACCTGTCACTTGCTAGTAGCGAAGACAGTGGCACCAACTGGTGAGCGCTAAAGTGGTAGGAGGACTATCGCATTTGCACTCATCAAGATGGCGCCACTGTAGAGTAAGGTCCTGTCAATCACCAGGAGTGCCAACTGTTAAATATAAAAACGATAGCCCTCATTGGCGCATGCGAACAGATGCGAACTATGTAGGTAACCAATTCACCCAAAACGCACTCTGATACCGCCGACTACTGTTACATAACATTTGTTGGTCTAGCACGGTGAACTTTACCGTTTGAACTCTTTGCTACTTACGGTTACCGACTGATACATACGACGTTTACGAGGCACAAGTACTTTTAGATCATTAAGAAAACAACAAAAGGGCATGCTTCAAATTACACATTTATCCAAGGATAAAAATAACTGGGCAATAAAAATAAGCACCGATTTGCACATAAATATAAATGGTTAATGAATAATTTTTTTATGTGCGAGCGGTAAGGTTACAAAACTTTATAACATTAGGATTTGACTAAATAACAAATATTATAGGTATTCTTAGCTTTTAAATTAATATGTATCAATTTATCATACAAATAAAAAAAACTCTTTAATCTATAATTATGGAGGGCCACATACCGGAAAACTCAGCTTGGGACGTCCACCCATAAGGTCGACCGACGATCTCATGAAGGTAGCAGGAAGGCGCTGGATGCAGGCTGCTACCAACCGGGCGATGTTTAAATCAATGATTTCGAAGGGGAGGCCTATGTTCAGCAGTGGACGTCCTGTGGCTGAAATGATGATGAAGGATGATGATGATGAATCAATAATTCTGTATCTGCGATATGAATGTCAGCCATGTGAACAAGTAGCTTTAGAAGCCTAGTCATTATTTTCTTCAATGACTATAAGATAGTGGTAATAATGACCTTTATGTTTACTAAGATGAATAAAAAGTACCTTCTTACCAGGGCAACATAACATAGGTGCACTTCGAGGAATAGTTTAGGTGCACTTCATTAGGTGCGCCTCAGAATGGGTGCGCTTCTAGGAATACCTCGGCATCCTAGACCAGCAGGGGGTCCAGATTCGAACTATGATAGTGCGAGCTTGCTCAGAAGCTCTGCAATGGAGGGAAGTCAACCTTGACTTGGAACTCCTCCTATGTCTTCTGATTAATTTCGTTGCGGGTCCAATGACAGTTTAACTTTCCCCGGGACAAACTTGACCTTCACTTTTTATTGGCGGTCAAGCTGTAGATCCTGGCTACACAGGAGCTGCAGCGGTGGGAACGAGAGGTGGGAATAATCCCGTTGCCAAGAAGATGCCCATTCATGACTTGAAGATTTAGGGTTGTAAAACTTCGAAATCAGAGGCTGGCAGAGAATTCCACTTGGCAGTGCGAATTATAAATTTTGTGCTATTAGGTAAGCTTAGTTCGGGCAAGAGTTACCGATACCATGTTTACCATTTATGATGATAATTATGGCAAGAATTATAAGGTAAGAGGTCTCCTGATATTTCGTCCTGTAGTTATGTCTTTAAAGAATTAAATGTGAAGGGGCAATTTCACCTTTGAATACGTAAGATGATTTATTCCTCGTATTTAATTCCTTATCCTTGACTATCAAGTTAAATCTATTTAAATATTCTTTAAAAACTATTTTGAAGGTTTTGAACATTTTTACACAATGTAGCTGATGCACACAGGTCAGGCGCGCGCAAACAATTTACACAATTCACAGAGCCCCGTAAGGTTCTTGAATCACCTTAAATAAACTGTTTGCATTATTGTGATTAACACCTTGCCCCCCAATGGAACTTCGAAACTGCGTATTGTCAATACCTTCAAATGATATTTATAGCTGAAGTTGTCACATCAGTGCATAGACGTTCGGGACTCGTCCTGCAATCAAGACATTCCTCCTTTTTAAAAAAAAAAAATTTTTCAAAATGATGAAACTTGTGAGTGGTTTTATACGTGCCTTTTTAAAATTAAACTTTATAGTTCGTTACAGAAACTGTACTACATTGACACCGAGTTTGATTAAACTTATTTTTGATTGCAAAGTGTGATAATAAGACAGTTAGCGCTCTACAAGTCAATCTTTATCATACCTGTGCTATATTTAAAAAATTGACATAATTTTATTGACGCAGACTATCGAAAGCATTTTCTACTCAGAATTTCAGTCTACCACTGCATCGCAAGTCGTAGCAGTAGCAAAGGAAACTGTTTTATTGTTTGAATTTTATTATCAGACAAATTGTTTCTTCTTTCAGACCATCTTCGCCCTAGCCGCCTTAGCCCTGGTGTGCGCTTTCCCCCAGGACAGTCCCCAAGCTCAGCAGCCAGCGCAGCCCCCTGTAGAGATCGTGAAGCAAGACTCTGAAGTGGACGTTAACGGCTACAACTTTGAGTGAGTCCAATCTTATCGATGTTTCTACTTCTTCTTCCTCGGTCCCTCACTGATGAGGATCGCGACCACATATAGTGTTCCTCCATTAGACTGCGGTCATAAGCTGTGTGGACCGTACAATGAAAACTTCCGCCCACTGCCTTCCCAACCGCGTCTACCATCTCGTCGGTGCTCTGCCCCGAGCATGTCTGCCTTCCATTTGTCCCATGTTTCTAATCCAACTGCAAAAACAAACGCAGAAATCACTAAAAAGAATGCAACTTCTATTCTATATTTTATACATTTTAAAAATCATCATATCAGTTTTAAATTCTTCAGCCAATGAATATCAGCGTTGGATTGTTTAATCATTAGTACAAATTATACGGCTAGAAAGAAGTTAATAAAATTCTTAGATGCTGGAATGGCACTATTAAAGTGGGCGCTGGGATTGATTTCTTCTAGACTCCATATAAGAATACATACAATGTGCATTATAATATCTCTCTACTCTAGTAATTACAATGCCTCATAAAATTAACGGCACATACCTAAGTACTAATTTGATAGTTGGTTTTTAAAGTACAGTCGACAGCATATACTTATCAGAATACCTACAACTATACTATGTGGGCTTCTAAATATTTCATCCGTAAATATTTATTAATCTTATGCCATAAATACCTACCTACATAAAGAAAAAGTTACATATTCACAGTGAATAACGTAGCAAGTAATTAAGCAATTAGTTTTGTTCAGCGTAAATAATCTGTTGTTATTTTGACTTATAAATCGCTAATAGCATCCTTCTTTAGAATGCGCAATGATGGCTTCTTCACAATCACTTTTAATTCATCTTCAAATACGAAATTGCCCAACGTTTTTATTGAGAACTACCTAAAGGTCTTTTCAATAATCATCTCATTTGCAAACCTAATAATTATAAAATAATTTATGTAAGCTTCATTTTCGTCAAGGCAGGTTATCAAATTACATAACCATGATGTCCTTGTCAGTATAGCACATTACTGACTGTGTGTTAAAGGTAAAGCAAATCTATGAAGATGTGTCGTGCACAATTAAACGCTATTGCAATAATTTACATCGTTTGTGCATTGTTTACGTCAAAACATGAGGTATTAACTGATGATCAAGTTAATCAGAATATCAAGTGATAATCCTCACAGGAATGCACATCCTTCTCATTGTAATGGCTTTACGGACGACTGCACATCAAACTAAGGAGGTATTATGGCATCTCATGAGTTCTAATAGGTGCTATTTTACAACCAATGTATAGTACTATGTCGCTGTACACCTAATAATATATCAAAGACTCTTATAAAGTAGTGTAGCGACTAAATAAAATTAATATGTACGCTACGTAGGTACCTACCTAAAAATTGCATTAAAAGTTTTAATAATAAGAAGAAGCTAATGTGCTAATATGGAGCTGTAACAGCTAGTTCATAAATTATATTGGCAGTTCCAATGTTTCAAAATATTGTTAGCGTATCAGATCATATTATTTCAATACAAACTCAAACATTAGTAAAATGTAAACATAATATAAACTGTTCATTAACATGTTGTGGCGGTAGCGTTTTTTTAACTGGTATTTTGCTACCGTAGCAACCGTAGTACCGTAGTACCGGTAGCGTAGTATTGATTGCGCTACTGCGCTACAATATTTTGAAAAATTGGCACTGCCAATATATTTATGAACTCGATTGTACCATGCAGCTTTTTACTTTAGAAAAAAAAACAATAAAATATAAAAAAAATCTTTCCAGGTTTGAAACAAGTGACGGTACTTCAAGGCAAGAGCAAGGCGAATACAAGAACGACACTGACCAGCAGGGCCTGTTAGTCAAGGGCAGCTACAAGTACGTGGCTCCTGACGGCCAGCACATCCAGGTCACGTACGTGGCGGACAAGAATGGCTACCAGCCCACCGAGACCACTGGCGAGCCTGCGAGTGCCTAAAACAATCCAATGAAATGTGCTTCAACCAAATTTAATTTTAAGTCTCAAGTCACTGTCCGTATAATATTATGATAATAAAAGGATGTCCACAACAAACGTTTTTATATATTACTAATCTCATTAAATTATAATTAATAAGTAGAGTATGAAAAATACACTTAAGTTTAAAGGCACATTATATGTATTTCGAAANCGAACGAATATGTATTTCGAAATACGACAAATATAAGGGACTTTTAAATTCAATCATTTCAAATCAGTTTGAAAATCGTAAACAAATTCATTCGCTTCTTTTTGGCTTGCATTTGTAAGCCTGAAACTATTAATGCCTTATTATTATTACTGTAATATTATCAGGAAATGGTAAACAATATTCGAAACAAATGTAGGCACACACTAGGGAAAAACTTTTATTCTTCAGCCTATTACCTTTTGTTTTTTATTTTTTATTCTAACTTTTATGCTTGCAAAAATCCACTAAACTCAAAAACCACCAATCAAAAAGCCACAGGTTGGCATGACCTGTTGCAAACGACAGAGCAATGTTGCCTCGGCAAATATTAGAGGTAACACTTTGATAAGTAATTAAAACAATTAAAAACAAGCTTTTCCTATGGCAACCTTCCAGCTTCATCATGAGACCAGTTCCACGACATCAATAGATTGCATTGTCATCTGAATTACTTGTGTTTGCGAAATTTCAGCCCAATGTTGCCAGGAAGTTGGTCTAATTCAGCTCGCTAGATTTGACCCAAACACATAGGTACACTGCAAGATACTCGTAATAAATGCTTATACAATTTTAAAATACATTAGTTCTTTACTTCGATACTTACAGTTTATCTTTCAGGTCTTGTCACTTTCAATGAATTGTTTAGCAAAGTACTAACTGAATCCATGTTTCTGAATAACTTCATCTCCAAATCTAAGGTTTCCACTACAAAGAAAGTGCCGCACTGACTGTTTCATAGGAGTTGTACACTTTAAATAGTCTACATTTTAATGTCGATGTCATGTTTCTTGCTAGTGATAATTGAACCAGAGAGATGTATCACGAGAACGTATGCGGCGATAGTTTACCTAAAAGGCTTGTGCTGACGTGACCAACTAGAAATGATAAATAAGAGTGCACGACTTTGATGGACGTGGGATATTTGGAATTCTTCGACTCTACACAGCAAGCCCGCCGACTTTCTATATTTAGTGGACAAGTAAATNCACTTTCTGGGGAGTAATAACTTACTTAGTACTTCATTTCATTATTATGAACATCGCGAATTTATCAAATATTGCATTTTGTTAATATTAAGTATAGGTCTACGCTGAACCACGGTAATACTATCTATACAGTATTCCAACTCGGCCATATTTTTCAAATAAATGTCAACAGCCACGCGGTACGTCACAGTATGACAACATGCGATAGGGCTGCCCACTTGCAGACCCTATTTTCATTACATCTGCCTACTTAGACTATCTAGTTTTGTGAATGTATTTGGTGATTGTAATTTTTTATTTTATTTTGACAAACAAAATACTTTGTGAATGAAATAGGATAAAAATGCATGTTGTTTTGTGATTTAATAAAAAAAATATTTGTGTTAAGATTTAGTAACAAATCTTGTAAATTTGCAACCATAAAATGTATTAGCCCTCGACTGAGGCGAACAATATGCTTGATTATTATATTAGGTGTTAGGTAAATGGGTTTATAAGCGTTATTATGCATATAAATGGTATGATAAGTCATAAAATTGATATCATAATTTTAATCATTTCAATTTTTACACAAATCCGATTTTATAAATTTTATTTTGTATGAAAATTTATTACCGTGGTACATTGCGACACCCCCGACTTTTGCATGTCGAGCGCATACCGAGATTTGAATTTCGAAGGTAAGCTCGCGTTTCGTCCGTTTATATGAAGTTACAATACTGTATGATAGTATTACCGTGGCTGAACTAAGCGCCTGAGTTATAGGAGCGGCACGGGAGGGTGTTTTTGTGACGTCAAACGTTAGCGAGACTTTAGATTTGTATGCTCTGTCACGTCATAATATCTCAGTGTCACCCTCCCGTGCNAAGTAAATTAAAAATATTTAAAAATACCCAATATTGATTTGATGGATTTTTTTTATTGAGATCTAGATAGTTAATTCTAAATGTAAAGCAGTACCTAAATAATAATAAAGCATTTCATTCTTATCGTGTTGTGCGTGTGTTTGAATAAGTATTTGTGTAGTAAGTAGGGGGGAGACCGAGGTGAGTTGTAACAGAGAATAATAGTGACATTGTCGATTTTTATAAACCTAATAACTAACAGCGAGCTCACAACAGCGCTAACAGCTCGAGACTTGAACTAAAAACGCGCACCATTACGAGCTCGTTAGTAGTTAATAAGTTCCAAAAAAGCTGTAATGTCACATCTTTCCTATGTTACAACTGACCTCAGTCTCCCCTACCTATACCTAGAAACTCAGATGGATAGGTACCTACCTATGTATCTACTCGTAATACGACATTGCCATTACATCAAAGAATTATGATCGATGATCTTAGTAAAAATTAATTGTATTCATAAGTAATTACGTGTCATGCAAAAAAGTTTATTTCAAGTTTAATTACACAAAGCGGTATGTACTAAGAAATAGTCGAAGACGTATCAAAACTGCTCAAAGTAACATTAATTAATATTCTTGACAGAGTAGGTAGGGTATTAGTATGTACCTATAAAAAGTCTATTTATTAATTCAAGGACTAGTAAAGTCAGTTTTTGTTTAAATTAATATTAATTTAAAACCAAAAATTGGGCAAACTTGAATTTTTGGCATGCTTTATAAAGTTTCTTAATTTAATTTAAATTATGTGTGTGTGTATTTTTTCATGTAAGACGTATGCCACCAGTTTCAGCATGCATTCAACTTTTTACTCGTAGGATGGTGGTAGGCGATAGTTTTAATTNTTTAAATTGTTTGCTAAGTGAATCTTGTTAAGGTGATTTTTTTATGGGACAGGAGGTAAACGAGCATATCACCTGTGTGCTTACCATGAGTTTACGTTACATGTGCTCGCTAGCGACTTCGTAAAAAATGACATTTTAGGTTGAGTTGCACCACTTAACTATAACTGTAACTTCAACGATATCCGGTGTATTTTGTATGGAGTTTGACAGATTTTTGACGTTTCTCAAAGTTAAACTAAAATGGTGCAACCCAGCCTAAATGTATGACAGATTGTACAGCACCCCTAGAGGTTACTTTGAAGAACTAAAATTTTCATTGATTTTTGACGCTAGCGAACACACTTATCGTAAACTCATGGTAAACACACTCATGGTAAGTGATTACCGTCCGTCGACATGCAGCCCTGCTGGGAGAGTTACAGGTGCGTTGCATGCCTTAGGTTGTTTAGGAAAAAACAAATAAATAATTCCATAATTGTATCTATTTATTCTTTGCCCAGCACACGTATCGTGGGCTTGTAGCCCTTATCGTCAGCGGTGAAGGTCACTTCGTAGGTCACTCCATCGGGCGCGGTGTATGAGTACGAACCCTTGACGCCGATGCCTTGGGTCTCTCCCACCGTGATCAAGTGCGCTTCCTCTTGGCGGGACACACCGTCGCTCGTTTTGTACCTGACGTAAAAATGTATTGGTTATGCACAGTCAGCTTCAAATACTCGTAGTTTAGTCAAACCCAAAGTAAACAATTTCGCAACATTTCTTTGTCAAATGGAACAAATAGAATAAGGCTGAGTTGCACCACCTAACTTTGACCGTAACTATAACGATAACCGGTGTATTTTGTATGGAGTTTGATAGAAATTTGACGTTTGTTAAAGTCAAAGTAAGATGGTGCAACCCAGCCTAAGTTTGTGTTGTCAACTTTTTGGCCACTTTGGGTGTCATGAACTATTTGACGCTAACTGTACAGGGCATGGTTAATATGTAGTTAGAGATAATAATGTACTTATATCTCAAAACCGACAGTTTTTTCCTCATTAAATCCTCAATAAAATAATCGATTTTACTATAAAGATCTATTTATTAAAATAGATTTGTGATGAAGATCATCTCTCTGAAGAGCTCTGAGGTCGAAACCTATTTCCACGAATCCGATCTTACATAAGATTTGGTCTTATTATTTGAATGATGTTGAAAGAGCATCCTAAGTCGCGTTTATTATTTTTAATAGCATTGTTTTTTGCTTTGCAACATAATACTTTATTATTGTTTCTTGACATTTAGATCTGTACGGGAGACCAAGGTGAGTTGTAACAGAGGAAAGTTGTGACATTGTCGATATTTTGGAACTTATTCACTACTAGCGAGCTCGTAACAGTGCACGTTTTTTAGTTCCAAGTCTCGAGCTACCATAAAATAAGTGTTACAACTAACATCGGTCTCCCTACATCATACATTCGATAGAGGTTAAAACTTAAAACACGATTCAAGTAACTTACTCAAAATTATATCCATCTTCGTTGACTAATGATGTTTCAGTTAGTATTTCAACTGCAGGCGCATCTGTAGACTGGGCGAATGCGGCTGAGACGAATAAAACAAGACCAAGCACTTTCTGGGGAGAAATAACTTACTTAGTACTTCATTTTATTATTATGAACATCGCGAATTTATCAAATATTGCATTTTGTTAATATTAAGTATAGGTCTAGCGCTGAACTAAGCGCCTGAGTTATAGGAGCGGCACGGGAGGGTGTTTTTGTGACGTCAAACGTTAGCGAGACTTTAGATTTGTATGCTCTGTCACGTCATAATATCTGTGTCACCCCTCCCGTGCCGCTCATACCTCAGGCGCTATACTATAGTAGCAACCAATATAAAGGACTTACCAAAGAGAGCATCGTGGATTGGTATCACTTTTGATAGTGACTCTACAATTTACAAAACAACTTCTTATAGGCACATTTGTTTGTTGAAGTTGCAACAACTAGTAAAATGCATACATACTTTGTAACTGAGGTGATAATACATTATCAACTGACGAAACTGGAAATCATAGGTACCTAGTAATATTGACTCTACATACGAAAAATTTGTATTGTCAAATATTGCTTACACATGACCTTCAAAGATCGTGTGTTACTCATACGTTACCGAATGACAGTCAAAGGCAGATCATAGTACAAGTTATTGTTGTAAACTAGCTCCTATTATAACTAACATAAGATCCCACAATTTTTATCTTAATAAACAGCAGCTTTTAATGGAAACTCTGTCGACCACTGCACATTGCATAAATTGCATTGAAATAGGATAATTATGGGTACGATTTTTATTGTAATAAACATGAGTAATGTATTTCAAATAATAGTAATTTTGGTACTTATTTTACAGTCTGCAGATGAACTCAACTATTGACTGTCGAAAACCTTACAAATATTAAAATTAACCAAGGGTTATGAAGAAACAGAAACATCACAAAGGCTACTAAAATGCGACTTGTCAAGGCACTTGGAGAAGGATTCTTGGCATAACCTGGACACAGTTCCGACCAACGCCTCGATCATCCAAGAGCTTGATGTCAAACAGCGTGTTTCTTCCATCGTCCAAAGTCGTATTCTCACTTTCTTTGGCCATATTACACGTGGAGACGTCGCTTCTGTTGAACGACTTGTCGTGCAGAGGAAGGTTGAGGGCACAAGAGCGCAGGGCAGGTCGCCCATGCGCTGGACTGACCAGGTCAAAACCGCACTCAATGGTCCACTTGAGTGCACAAAAAAGTGTGCAATGCGGGAGGAATGACGACGGATTGTGAGGCTTGCCACCGGACCTGGTGTGACGACCACGACCACTCTGGCAAGAGTGTAGCGAGGAAGAAGAAGAAGGGTTATGAATTATAATAAAAACAATCAGATTGTATGTAGATGATACATTTATAAAAGTTTCAACCCTCCTTTTCATACATAAAGTTATTAAAAAATCAATACTTAATAGTAGTAATTAGTACTAAAATCAAATCAATCAATGAACATGATTTTATTACAACTTAAAACTAATTTCAGTAGAATTTTAAACAATTATTCTCCCTGATCTGTTCAACAATTTATAAAATTACTTAGGTATATGCAATTCCAATATTTCTTGCGCTTTTACCTACATGTTCTATAATTCTAAGTTTTCGAGCATTTCATGAAAATTTAATTTGAATACTTAACAAATAAACATTTTAATAAATACAAATAAATAGTTAATCAAGTCTTATTACGTAAAAGTGTAATCTAATATCTAATTATAATTTATTTATTACATACAGGTTGTCCCATAAACAATGGACAATTTTACAACTATAAACAATGGATAACTTTTCAACTATCGATTGATTTTGACCGTAGTAAAAATATCGAATATTTTTAAGATTTTCATTTTTATTTTTAGGAAATTGCCACCTGTGATTATTTTTTCTCATAAAATTCAACAATCTATGTAGTTCCAAAGTATTAAAGAAAAATAAAAGAAGAAAAGGTTTAATTCGTAATCTCGCATCGCATGTCAATTTTCTAAAAATCCAAAAAATGATATATGAGAGAATGACGTATGGCATTAAGCTCGCCTTTTTGTACAGAACATTGTTGTGTGTGCAATAAAGTCTTTAAAAAAAAAAAAAAAAAAAAACTTTAAAATCCAAAAAAACTTAAAAATCTCGAAACCCGTGATATTTTTACCTGGTCAAAATTTTATATTAGTTAGAGAGACCATGAGGCTTATCGACAGTTACAAGGTTATCCATTGTTTTTGGGACATTCTGTATAACCATCTGTAATTTCGAATACTTTAAATCTCAAACAATTAATTAGTCATTCAGTCTGTTGCAGTCTTTCAACCAAATCGCATGCACAGGCATCATGCACGTCTTGTTATGAAACAAAAAAATGCTTAATTTATTTTAAATTTTATCCTGGGGCTCAAAATCCAGTTGAAAAAAGTATAATAATGCTGTTGACTGTACAACAATCAAGCTGATTAATGGAATTAATTTTAATAATTATAATAATTTAGAAACCACAATAGCCGAACGGTGAAGGGGTCGGACTGACCGGCTCGTGATCCGAGGAACGTGGGTTCGAATCCCGCTGCTCGATTATTGTTGTGAGCCCACTCGTGACACAAGCATATTTAACTTAGTACGAGGGGCTAACGGTACTACATAATTATTAGTAATTTGTGCAATAAAAATTAATAATGATCTTTAAAAAAAATATTGCGGGGATTGAAGCCGAAACCTCTGGAATAAGTAGTAGTCCGGTATAATTAGGTCGGTTAGGAGATCTTTTTTATAACAGTTCTGTAACCTCTCTTGCCAGCCTTGTACGTCATCTCGTACAGATCACCTTTGTCGTCGTACCAACGGGCGGCTCCGTGGACGTCGAGTGCGGCATCGTTTGTCCCTTGATTCAAAATGGCGCCTTGTTCGGTGCGGGAAGAGCCATCGCTTGCATCGTAACTGAAAAAAATTAAAAACAACTTAAAAATTACATTTATAATACCTAGCTCAATGCGCAAGGATAGGACTACGTTAACAATTCTNACAATTCTGAGTGCCGATTTGAGAGAAAACCTCTAAAACCACCATAGCTTGAGACGGAGCTGCGGACGAATGTCCAAGCTAGGACAATAACTCGCGGCTCTATTTCGGTGGAAACCGTCAGTTTGGGGTTTAGTGGGTAGAGTCTTGCGGGGAGAATCCTACATAACCCACTTGTCGCCCCCATCGGCCAGTGGTTATGTATGCGTGAAGCATTTCCTGACGTAAAAAAGCGCTTCCAATGTCCAAACTAAATTGGTATAAATAAATGTTTAAATTCTCCACGTGAAGTTATTTCCGTTAGAAGAATATTTGAGTGTTATCGGTACACGCTAAATTATCCAGGATCAAACTCCCCGCACCCCGCGCTTCCCTCGACCTTTGGTGGGGCGCATCTTCGTGGATGGAACGATCTATACCAGTTTATGCCAACCAAAACAAACATCTGCTTACATTATTAACATACGTTACTTAATTTGGAGGCTAAACACGTCGCAGATGGTATAAATATCGAAAGTTTCGCATTTCAAACACCGTTACATAAAGCTATGTCCCTGTCCTTCTTTTAAAAGATTTATGGCCCTAACGTGATAAAACCCGTGCCTGACACACACTAACATCTCGGATAAATCTAATATTTAAAATACTCGTGTCACAGTGTTTGTAACACTCCTCCAAAACGGCTTGACCGATTCTTATGCTGTGTGTGTATTCAGTAGGTCTGAGAATAAGAAGTAATTTCATACCACTAGGTGACAAAGGTCTTTAACGCGTACGAAGTCGCGCATTGGCTAGTTATGGAATAAAAATTACGACTCAGGCACATAGCTGCATAAAAAGAAGCGGGCTTATTTTTTTAATTTTAACCTATTTTACATTAAGGCTGAGTTACACCACCTTATTTTAACCGTAGCATTAACAATAATAACCGGTGCTTTTTGTATGGAGTTTGAAAGATTTTTGACGTTTGTCTAAGTTAAAGTAAGATGGTACAACTCAGCCTAAGTTGCACCACCTAACGTTAACGGTAACTATGACAATAACCGGTGCGTTTTGTATGGAATAAGACAGATTTTTGACAGATTTTTTAAAAAGATATTAGTGTGTTCAGCAAAGGTCGTCGCACTTTTGCCATCTTTTAAAAATTTTGGGAAATACAAAGATATCTATTTTGCGATAGTATTAAAAAATGACAAGCTATTTATTAATATTTCACGGTTTTGGGGGCACGTTCGTATAACGGCTTTAGAAATGTTTGTAGGACGTTCAACCTGCGGAGGGCAGGCATGCCAAGTTTTTGTGACACGGTCAACTTACAAGTATTTTAATCATTGTATCCATTGTACTTGTCCAAGTCCATGTCGTCTTATGATGTGTTTCATTGATTGGTGAAAAAACTTTACATTATATTTTATGTTACAGTTTATCTATTGCTGAATCATGCTTTGATACCCAAATATGATTCAGCAATAGATAAACGTTAACATAAAATAAATATAATGTAATATCATAAAGAGGATTTTATTGTTATAGTTTTCCGAAAGTTATTGGACTTATTACAAAATATTTTCATCATTAGAATCCTAATCCTAGATCAACATAGGTGAGTAGTAAATAAAAAAAATCCGTATGAAAAGTAGAATTTCCGCATTTTCCGCATTGACACATATCAGACATTAAGCCTAGGCGCAGACCATCGATTTTTCGTCGGCCGATAGTTTAGTCGGGCAGTTTATCAGTACGGGCATGTATGGAAGTGCGCACATTACACCGATTCGATATTTATAATTTTAGATCCATGTAGGTACTTTCCACGTGTAACAATAATACGTATTTTTCAAAATAAACTGGACACATATTCAATATGAAAAAACCGGCCAAGTGCGAGTCGGGCTCGCACACCGAGGGTTCCGCCGTACAAACGTAGCGGTTTACAATTTATGACGTATTAAATCAAATTACTTACTTGATTCCGTTGCGAGTAGTGGCGAATTTCAAAATATGCGGTATGATTATTTTTTATTTATTTATTTTTCCTATATTTGCATTATACTCGTAGGTAGGTAGGTACCTACCTCAGCGTTTTGAATTTTTGCGTTGATTTAGAATTTCTCACAGTTTAGAGGCAATTAGATTTAAGAAGTGTTTGATATGAATTTCAACTTTAATATCTCTACGCGTTCATGTGAAAAAGGGTAGGTAGTAAGTTTATAATTATTAAAAAAATATTTTATGTCATGTAAGCAAAAATAATATTTTAAATTTTATATAACTTCNTTTGATGACATTTCTGCTGATTTCTAAAAAATTAGAATCTATTGCTGAATCATACTTTGATACCCAAATATGATTCAGCAATAGATAAACGTTAACATAAAATAAATATAATGTAATATCATAAAGAGGATTTTATTGTTATAGTTTTCCGAAACTTATTGGAGGAGGTGAGTAAATAAAAAAAAAATAAAAAAAAATCCGTATGAAAAGTAGAATAAATGTTTTTATATAACTCTGTCATTTTCCGCATTGACACATATCAGACATTAAGCCTAGGCTCAGACCATCGATTTTTCGTCGGCCGATAGTTTAGTCGAGCATGTATGGAAGAGCGCACATTACACCGATTCGATATATTTTATAATTTTAGATCCATGTACTTTCCACGTGTAACAATAATACATATTTTTCAAAATAAACTGGACACATATTCAATATGAAAAAGGATTTGAAAAGATCGATATCTCGTTCAATCGACGTTGAATTTGTTTGGCAGACGGGAATGATAAAAGAACCGTGATTAAATCAGTCGAAAAAGCCAATCATCTTTTCCTGACCATTTTGGCAGCAATGAATTGCATATATATTTATATTAAATCTGTAATCGTCTTAGTCATACTCAGATGTTTTGGCTTTATTTTTGTTCTTTNAATGTTCTTTAGAGGAGTACCTATTTCAGTTAGTTCACATAATATTCAAGTCTGGCCTCCATACATGATTAATTAACAGCATTATCGAAAATAGGTACTCCGGGAAATACCTTTTGTCTGTCGAAGCTTAAAAATATTTGCTTTTTAAAACAATGTCATACAGCACACATCGATCAATTAGAACGTGTATGTAAAGGCAATAGGTGAAAGAGTTCCGTGAACGTAAAGAGAGATATTATTTGGGTTTTTACTAAAATAAATTTGTCTATAACATTAACAATAAAATTAACAATTTATAATATGTTTATTATATCTAAATATATAAAAGGAGAAACTGACTGACTGACTAATATATTAGCGCACAGCCTAAACGGCTAAACGTAGGCACTTGAAATTTGGAAGGGACATAGCTTAGGTACCGTAGAGGTGCACTAAGAAAGGAATTCCCGAAATTTCCACGGGAACGGGAATTAGCGGAAAAATCCTTTTGTATGAAAAATCTAAACCGCTTAAGTTAGACGCTTGGGCATGCATGTACCTTAGTAAACTTAAAGCTTAGTTACAACAGGATATTGCAAAATTCCTACGGGAGTTAGCGGGAAAAAACATTTGTATGAAAAAATCTAAACCGCGTAAGATAGATGAAGACGGGTAAAACGGGATCCACGCGTACGAAGTCGCGGGCGGCTGCTAGTTTACTATATAAAAGGTGTTTAGTTTAAAAAGTTACTTTCAGATATACTGTCATCGGTTTGCATTAAATTACTTTAACTATAATTATTGATTATACTCAACGTAAGGCTAAGTTGCACCACCTAACTTTAACCGAAACTACATATGACGATATGAGATGTTTTTTGTATGGAATTTGACAGACTTGACGTTTTTAAAGTAAGATGGTGCAACCCAGCCCAAGTGTAAAAATAGGTTATCTAGTATGAAAATGGATCTCCAAGCATTAAAGCCATTATAAATATGACAACCCACTTGTTTGTTCCGAAAATATTTTGAACCGCAATTTAGGTTCAGACACAGCACCTGTAGTATGGCACTTATGTCAATGCAATAGCTGCTATTTTGCAAAAAATGTCTAGACTTAATGTTGACTCTACTTGCATTAAATGACTCACACAAGTTTGCTTTCCTTTTCATTTAGGATTCCGATTATGTGTGCTCAGTGTGTAAAGTACGACATTGAATTTAATGTAAGCAGGATTTGTTTTGAATGGCACGTGATATCTATTCACTGTTAGCAATAAAATTAAAATTATTGCCTTTATTTTAGTCAATGTAACATTCGATTTCGAAATTATGGTGTCTTCAATACGTTCCGAAGTTACCGACAGAAAAGTAGATAAGTATAAGACTTTATTTGGGATATATTACAACGTCTAAAATAACATTAAATAAGAAATATGTTTTATATTTTGTAAATAGTTTTTATATATCATTAGTAATTTTTAAATTTTAGTTTTTAAGTAATTTTTAAGTTTATGTAAATATATTATAAAATTATTGTTTATTGAATAATAAATAATAGAAATATGACATAGAAAGATACTAATATTATAATATTTATAATATATTAATTTGATTGTTTCTTTGAATTGAATAGACTCCAAAACTACTGGAACGATTTGTAAAATTCCTTATAAATATATTTTTATAAGAAATTCGTCGGGTTCGCTAGTAGAAAGATAAAACAGTATAGGTTCTTGCAACTCACGAAGGCGAGTGAGCTTTACTTATGTGTGTACGTGTACGTACAAGTACATGCACTAGTGTAATGTCTATCAAAACTTTTGGAAAACGAACAGTAGCGACATACATGTAAAGCTCACTCGCCTTCGTGAGTTGCAACAACTATAACTTAAAAGCACTTACTGGAAATTATATGAATTAGGCATATTATTTGTGTCCATGTGGTAGTTTAATACTTGAGGTTGAGGATGGCTGTCAATGTACGGGCTGGCCGCCAATGTTTGCACCAACAATACACCAACGATCTGGAAATGTACACACCAAAAACAAATGAGTATCGTGGCCGTAAATCCTCATTAAGTCCATCTCTTAATCTCGTGTTTCAGCGTTCATTTAAATAACTTAAATTACATTATCGAAAGAAAGATATCGTGGCTCTTAACATTAAAAACATTTAGGTACTTTTGTTTTGTTTCTTTCGAAAGCTTTCACGGTTGTTTATTTTAACTTCCATATTGATGTAAGAGAGTTGCAGAAAAAAACGACATGGTTGTTTTTACGTAATGTAGACAAGGATGTATCGTTTAAATAACATTAAATATCGATTTTATTTTTAAAGATTGCGGATCTAAATGTGTGGAAAAATAACAATGATGCACTTCTACAACTATTTGATGATTAGGTACAGTCGTGGTGCTTCTCGTATTATCCTGCTTATAATAATATGTAAGTAGGTAAACCTACATAATTATGAAGCAAGAAAATTTTACTCAAAGAAAACAATCCTTTATTTTTGAAAAGAAAGAGAACTGCATTCAAAGATTTTAGTAAAGAAAAATGTTGCAATAACGGGAAATGATATTCAAGCGTACGAAGTCGCGGGCACAGCTAGATAATTATAAGTTTAAAAAACGTCTCAATTTAAAATAGTCATCAGTATCAAATGATTGGCTGGAGGCGAAGGCTATTTGGTTTCAATAGGAAATAAATCTCGGTCTGAATACCTAGTTCAGTCTCAATGAATGAATATTTATGCAGTCTTTATTTCCCAAATTCTTGGTCAAATGTCATTCCACCTATACATATTAGGGAAGAAGGTTAACATAGAAGCTAGTTTTTTGTTTTGGTTCGCATATGTTTACATTATTTTAGGATTTGAATTCTGTTACATACATACGATACGTCGGTCTATTCCACTTTGATCATCTAAATTAGATCACCCAGGTGATGAAAGTATTACATACATAAGAAATACCATGTCAATGTGTGGAATAGAATAACCTATTTTAAGTTATTATATAAATAATATGAAACAAAATGATCGCACAGACAAGAAATAAATGAATAAAAAAATCTAAACACCATATTGATGTTGTTATGGTGTCTTTAGGTAATAATACTCATATAAAATAATCTTATTACATAAACAACAGCTCTTGTACAAATAAAAGAAAAAGTTACTGTCTTAATAAGACTAATATTTTACTTTAGCCATGATCTCATAATTATTACGTTTATGTGGAACAAAATAGTCTATACGTAATTTATGTTAAGTGCATACATAATAATTGCAATTTATAACTAAGTAACAACCCGCCCTGCTTTGCACAGGTAGTACTTAAAAACCGTTGCGTAGTTTTGAAAAAAGCATACAAAACGTTTTTTTTATAATATGTATACCTAGTATAAGTACATTGTATATATATTGTGTAGTAATAATTGAGCAATTCCATAACACAATTTCTATAATCGCACCTCATCCTAGCCTTGAAAGCCGAGTAAGTTTTCAGTCAACTGAAAATTACATTTTCAGTTTTCGTTTAGTTCCGCTATGCACCACTATGTTCCGCTATTCACATTGTTTGTATTTTATGAGTGGTGCATAACAAAATTAACCTTTAATTTTGATATCAATAAGTAAATCATTACGTTTACGAACTTGTGATGTCACATGTTCCCTTTGCCATACATAACCAATGAGAGGTTTGCGTTTTGACAAATAAGAATATCAATTATTTGTGCTATCAACTATGGCAGGGTTTCTCAAACTTTCGGTTCTACGAACCCCTGTTAAAGTTTCCAGGTGACAGCAAACCCCTAAATTAGCTAGTCCCATTTAAATTTAATAATAGAAAAAACAACCCCCAAGGGTGGAAAATTGGGGATGAACTTTTTTATACGCAATAATTTTTGTTTTTTTTTTTGTTTTCACGCATTTGAAGTCGGTTTTATTTTTTTTTTTAAAGTTAATTATAGAGTACCTAATTTTGGAAAATTTTATTTCTGCCCCCATTACGTAAATCTTATCGCGAACCCCCTGCCCTCGAATGGCGAACTCTTAGGGGTTCGCGTATCCCACTTTTAGAAACCCTGAACTATAATACTACGCCACTCGTATTTTAAAGCAAAAATATGCATGTAAGTTTTCGATTTTAACATTGTACTGATTGTACTTAATCATTAGTATTGCTAAATGCTTGAGGTAAAGGTTAACTCCAACGATATTAGCCGGCTAACTAAACATGCATGTACATGAGATGCTTAGTTTTTGCAATACCACATATTGACGACATCGCAATAAAGAGAAGGTCGACAGATGCATCGTTGGAAACATTCATGTGCATCAAAACACAAAGTTGTTATTATGTAAATACTGACACCAATTTTCTATCGGGTGTTAATTAAAAATTGTAAAATAATTACCAGTGGCAGCAGCATTTTGTTTTCTTGGTGACAAAGGAACAGGCGACTTCCTGGACAACTTGTAGGCCGAATGTGCTAACGGTTTCGTAAGATCTTCTTTATATATAAGGTCCGTACGCGTACGAGCGAGCGCGTGCACTGTCTTATCTGAAACTGAGCCAATTCCACCTGCCCATTAAGAGATCGACACATGAATGGAATTACCGAGAAGTGACGTCACAGATCACAGCTCAAATAAGCGACATCCTATAATGAAACAATGGAGACGTTAATGGGTTTTGTAAACTGAACAGTTACCTACTGAGTGAAATCATTTGGAATGACCAAATTTCAAGAAAACATTACTAAGTATACAAATTATCTCATGATTATCACGTTTGAGCGATCGTTCAGATGCGGAGTTTGTGTTTAACCGATCATTGTGCATAAATGGGATGGCTGGCGGTTGAGACATAATGAAGACTTATTTTGGAAACAATCGAATTGAATCTTGAATTCGGGCACGAAATATTACGTGTATTTTTTACAACAACGTGGAATACTTATATCTCACCTAATGGAAATATTAAGTATGTTACTTTCGGGTAGGCTATTCTGTGTTATGAACTTATGAAGTATGAGATTTCTGCCAACTCAATAGATTGCCTATTAATTTACTTTTTGATCCAAAAACCAACTAAAGTTTCAGGGCTAGATTGAAGTTGTGACTTCGCCTGCATTAAATCAGTTTGTCACAAATCGTTATAAATTATAGCCTATTTATGTTAAGCTGATGTATAAAAAATAATATTGTAAAGTTTCATCACAATATGTTCAGCCGTTTTTGAGTGAAATAGTTATAAAAAACCATACCCACTTTCGCCTTTATAATATTAGTTACCAAGTCAAATACCCAATTGTGCAAATTCTTATTACGAATTAAAATTCTAACGTTTCAGAAATAATGTCTCACGGAAGCAAATGCAGTCTCTACTAAGTCAGAGTTACATAAAAATGTTGCAAAATAACACCTATCACAAAATACATAAGATGCTGCAGTGTTAAGCTTCAAGTGCCGTTGACCGTACTACAAAAATAGTAGGTTGGTGTGTGTGTGAGTAATCGAAAATACTCGTATATGTAATCACAGAGGTACTTTACAGTCGGGTAACGTTTATCTTACCACAACCTCGTTTGTTTACTGGATAAGGCATTAGGTCACAATGTCATTTATTTACAAATTCAGGAAACAAAACGTAAATAACAATTGTAATATCGATGTTTGTTCAATACTTTTTTAGTTATATTGGAATATTATATCAAAGCTAGTGATATTTTTTACACAATGAAAGAGTTTTAAATATGCATTGTGCAAAACTGTAGGTTTATATCTTAAATCATTGTATAGGGTTATTTGAAAACACCAGCAACCTCAGATTTAGGTGACGTTTCCTCCGAGGAAATTTCATAGGATGAACTTTATTGTCTCTCTTTCAAAATAGGAGTCGAATCATCCGCAAAATATGACATGAAAAATTCTTAAAATAATTGATTCTTACCGTTGTCCTTTTCATTATTAGAATTTAATTTAATTAATTATATGTATTTCGGATGATCTGACACATCCAAGCCGCGGTTTCACGGCGAAGTTTCATCCGAAGATTTATGATGATTGAGATGATTCGACACCTACATATTTATAAGGGAGACAATTCAACAAATTCACAATTCACCTGAGTTTAACCTCACAGGACTAGATAGCTAATCAACAACATTAGTTCTTATGTAATTTATCGGTAAAAATGTCTGACGGACACGTAGCCTGAACTACCTCTGATTCTTAACGCAGTAGTTGATTGTCATTTTAAATTCATCGAAGCGTAGCACTATGTCTAATCGAGTTTCATGGGATAAAACAAAATTATAAATCACTTGGACGAAGTTTTTGTGGTAGATTTGACTGTTAATAAAAATGGTAAGAATGTATTGTTTTAATAGTGTTTTTATTAGAGAAAACTTATGATCCTACTACGTTGTTTTAAGTGTAGCGTTTATGAGCAAAATGTTTCTCTTTTCCTTTACAAATAATTAATGCATGTAATATCAGTGATTTTTTAATATTCTTGGGTTTCTAATTCTCGTGGTACAGTCAGCGTCAAATATACTGGTCATCGCAAAAATCGGCCCACCTACGCTTTACAGGAAAACTTGTTTCTACTGACACAATAATGGTGCCCCAATAATATTGGTGTTATTTGAAAGCCCAATAAATATCCTTAAAGAAAAACACATTTAATTACTTAATAAACGATTATACACAATTAACCTATACAATAAATGTGACTTGAAAAAAGACCTCACTTTGGGCGCACCCCTGCGATCAATTAGAACAATTTTTATGGTTATAAAACCAAATAATGATCTCACGTGTCCTCTTTAACAGATGGATAGCGATTAATCCCAACTTAACAGTTTATAGCTATAAAAGTTGGCTCAAGCGTAACTACCTATTTTTTGAAGAAGTCACTCTGGATTCTTCTACAGACTCATTTTCGGGGTAAAAACCTTTCCTTTAATGAAATGAAGTTTAGAACTAGGCTTTTAAATGGTGCCAATATTGGTGGGAAGTGGGAATGCATTACGTTTGAAAGTGCTTGTCGCGGGAGGGTCGATTTTTGTGCTGACCAGTGTAGTTCGTAACACCCAAAGTGGCCAAAAAGTTTACAACACAACCTTATTCCAGTTGTAACAAAGACCTGTTGCGAACTTTTGGCTACTTAAGTGTTACGTAACTATTTGACGCTGACTGTACTTTTAATTGGGTATGTAAAATAGATTTTTTCAATAGTTTATTGTTTATTCTCAAGAATGAAAATTGTTTACTCGTACGGTTTTATTCACAGGTGAAACAGTTTTTAGTACTGGCAATAATCACAATGAAAACTTATACGTTTGCTGACGAGTATTGGCTCCGTGCACGATTACAGCGCCAACTAGCGTCCACAACTTTGTGGGCTCTGTCACATTGACATTTAGGTCGTTTATTTGTGAAAAAATATCGAAATGAAAAAATAACAAATATTTTCGACTAATAAATTGTTGTGATACCACGATTTGGGTGGAAAAAAGGTTTTGAAATCATTTAGGTCATTCAAATCAAATGAGGCAAGTCCGAAAAGTGTGTTTAATTTTGATTGTGTCAGGGTTTGTTTACTTCATTTATAGTTGTAGTTTTACAGTAAAACAAAAAGAAAAAGCTACTTTAACGGTTTCATTATACAACAGTAAATATATTTAAATGTTCCTGTATCGCTAGTAATAAATTAAATGTCGTTTTCAGATCGAAATGAGTATTGTTTTGAAGACCGGGTTTGTGTGTGTTACAATATCAAATTCCAACCACAAACCATATTTAAAGGAAAGTTGTTGATATTGGCAGGACAAGTCCGAGATGTAGAAGAATTAAGAACAAAACAAGGGCAGAGTTCAATAATTCACGCTCTCATCATAAGGCAAACATCTGTGCACAACAACTACTGTGACTCGTTTTTGTACTACCACATTGTATATTTATTTATTTATTTTATTTATTTATTTATATTAGGGAAACAAACAATTTTCATATACAGACAAATAATCACATAAAAAATAGGACAGAAATCAGCNGATGCGAAGTACATAGCCGCACGCTTTTGTACCTCTAAGTCGACCGGCAGTACACCAGCCAGGACTGGCAGAGCCTCCGTGCTCACAGTTCTGTAAGCTTTGCAAAGAAAAATCAATGCAAGGCGTTGACTTTGGAGTAGTTTCCGTCGAGCGGCTCCTATAGTAGCTCTGTCAGCCCAAACTGGTGCACCATAGCAAAAGCAAAATAGCATTTCGGATGATCAGTGTGCTTACCATGAGTTTACGTTAGGTGTGCTCGCTAGCGAATACGTCAACAAAATCTATGAACATTTTATTTCTTGAAAGTAGCCGCTAGAGGCGCTGCACAATATGTCATACATTTAATGTCATTTTTTTACGCAGTCGCTAGCGAGCACACCAAACGTAAACTCATGGTAGGCACACTGACACTTCCAAGACGCAGTTTCACGGCGAAGTTTCATCCGAAGATTTATGATGATTGAGATGATTCGACACCTACATATTTAAAAGGGAGTCAATTCATCCTCGATCAAATGTCACCTGAGATCAACCTCACAGGACCTAGATAGCTTATCAACAACATTAGTTCTTATGCGCTAAAAAAATTAAAATGTCTGACGGACACGTAGCCTGAACTACCTCTGATTCTTAACGCAGTAGTTGATTGTCATTTTAAATTCATCGAAGCGTAGCACTATGTCTAATCGAGTTTAATGGGATAAAACAAAATTACCTATAAATCACTTGGACGGTTTTTGTGGTAGATTTGACTGTTAATAAAAATGGTAAGAATGTATTGTTTTAATAGTGTTTTTATTAGAGAAAACTTATGATCCTACTACGTTGTTTTAAGTGTAGCGTTTATGAGCAAAATGTTTCTCTTTTCCTTTACAAATAATTAATGCATGTAATATCAGTGATTTTTTAATAGTCTTGGGTTTCTAATTCTCGTGGTACAGTCAGCGTCAAATAGTTCGTAACACCCAAAGTGGCCAAAAAGTTTACAACACAACCTTATTCCAGTTGTAACAAAGACCTGTTGCGAACTTTTGGCTACTTTAAGTGTTACGTAACTATTTGACGCTGACTGTACTTTTAATTGGGTATGTAAAATAGATTTTTTCAATATTTTATTGTTTATTCTCAAGAATGAAAATTGTTTACTCGTACGGTTTTATTCACAGGTGAAACAGTTTTTAGTACTGGCAATAATCACAATGAAAACTTATACGTTTGCTGACGAGTATACAGACATTTTAAGAATTGACTCTACAATTTTAAAAGAATGGAAAATTCCTAACCTATTTTTAGTGAAAAAAAAATCTGAACAACCGATATCTGAACCAAGATTCACCAAATCACCACGAAATAAAATTCACCAAGCTAGAGCCCTTAAGGTACAGAATACCACGACATATTGAGAGCTTGTATTATAGTGAGGTGAACAAAAAAGGTAAGGTGATTTATTCCAAGTGGCTGTATAACTTGCGAGATGTTGCTATATTAATGAGGGATCGATTTGATGTCGAGTTTGCCA